GTCAAGGTGTGGATCTGTGTGCATGTGCTAGTGTGTGTGTATATGCCAGTGTATTTGTGTTAGTGTGTACCTGTGTGTTAGGATGTGTGCATCAGTGTGTTTGTGTGTGTATCTGCGTGTCAATGTGTATGTATATCTGTGTTAGTATGTATGTGCATACATCCAGGCAATCAAACACACCGCTGCAAACACAATCATTATATACAAACTCACCACTGAATACAAACTCCAAATCTGTGTTAGTATGTATGTGCATACATCCAGGCAATCAAACACACCGCTGCAAACACAATCATTATATACAAACTCACCACTGAATGCAAACTCCAAAATTGTATACAAACACACCCTTCACTCACCAAGACTATGCACAAATGTACATCTGCATTTAAACTAGGGATTGACCGATTATCGGTCTGGCCAATATTATCAGTCAATATTTGGCAATATCGGTATCGGCCAATAAAGATACCGATATTGCCGATAATACATACCAGGACCGGGGGGCCCAGCAAGCTCTTACTTACCTTCCCAGTAGCTCCCTTCAGCTCCCCTGTGTAAATCTCGCAAGTCCTGCGGCCGTCAGAGCGTTGCCATGGGTTACCATGGCACCGCTCCGCGCAGCACACAGACCGCAAGATTTAGACAGGGGAGCCGAAGAGAGCTGCTGGGAAGTAAAGTAAGAGTGTGCTAGGCCCCCTCTGCACAGTCCAAGCCACCAGGGAACGCTATATCCCACCTCCCTGGCCAGGTAACAAGCATGGAGGGGGGACAAAAAAAATTGGTAATATTTAAAAAAAAAAAAAAATTAAAATAAAAAATGCCTCCCCCCATTTTACACAAATTACATACCTACAGAAACACACATTCTGCATTATATACACACACACTACACAAACACACTGCATTCACTATACACACACTACACACACTCTGCATTCATTATACACACACACACACACACACACACTACATAAACTCTGCATTCATTATATACATACTACATTCACTATACGCACACACCACATTCACTATACACACACTCTGCATTCATTATATACACAAACACACTGCATTCATTTTACGCACACACCACACAAACACACACTACTCACACTTTGCATCCATTATATACACACACTACTCACACTCTACATTCATTATATACACACACTACACACTGCATCCACTACACACACACACTACACAAACACACACAGCTCCCCTGTCTAAACACACTGCATCCACTACATGTGGCATGTATATTGTGTGCATTTACCTTTAGAAATAGTTTATTTTTTCAAAATGGTAAATGTACAGAATATCGGTAATTGGCCTGAAAATTCACAGATTATCGGTATGGTCTCTAAAAAAAATCAATATCGGTCGATCCCTAATATAAATGACAACACTACATTCAAACACACCCCTGCATGCAATTACAAACGTTACATACAAACACACCCCTTTATTAAAACACTAAAATTATATAAAAACAACTCAATACACAAAACACTACACACAAGTATACCGCTGCATTCCAATGGTAAAATTACATACAAATACACCCCTACATGCACACATATACTCTATACAAAAACATGCTCACATTCAAATTCACAAATACAACCCTACAAGAATGGCCAAATGGTAGATCCCCTGGCATAGCAATGTGGAAGTTGTACGACACATGGGTTTCTATCTTTTCTCCACTACAAGGGAGACCCAAACAAATTCTTGCACCACAGCCCTCTCTATATTAGTTCCATCAGTAGGTTGGGGTAGAGGCCGTGACTGCATGCCAGGGAGCTGGGGGTTGAGAGTGGGGGGAGAGTTCAAGCAAATACTTGCCCAGGGTCCAATCAATATTAAAAGACGGCCCTGCATGAACTCATATGCTACCTGCAGCACAGACACCACCATTTTATCTGCCGTCCACCTTCTCACATTGTCACTGCTAGTGAAGAACTGAGAGGCTGCCCTAGGGTTAAAAACAATTAAACATGCCCATTTTCAATAACTGGCAAGTTGCCCTTGCTAAGGTGCGCCTTTAGGCATGTGTCTGCATTGCCTACTAGGAAATCCGGTTCTGCCTTATAATGAGTAATTGGATACACTTTCTCTAGCTGTCAATCTTACGTGGACCAACGAGATGAAGGTTTCACTTACCAACTTCACACGGTAGCAAAGTGTCCAAGAATGCTACACGTGTTCAACCCAAATATTAGTCTGTCAATTACATAAAGTAGATGTATGTTCGATCCTCCCTTTAAAAGTTGTATATAAATATTCGCCAAGGTAGTTTGGATTTTATATATGAGATAATATGCATCCACATTAGACACATAGTAGCTGGTAACTAAACAGCATAACTAGTGTACTTTGTAACCAGGGCAGATTTGACCACTCACACACTCTCAGAAGTTTAAAAAGGTAAAGTGATACCTTTGAAGGACCAAAACCACTAATGCTTATTGTAGGGGTTTTCGTGCTAGGGGGCTATGGTTGCCGTACATTTTCAAGCTGCTATGAAATAGTTTAATAATTGTTCCCACAATGGCAAGATTCTGCAGCATTTGATCTAGCTCGACTCCTTACCCAATATTTAACCTTTTATAGAAGGACCAACTGGACAGTGTCTACTTTGTATGTAGTGAAAATGAATATAGTTAGAGCAGGGTATGTAGTTTGTTGCAATTGTGTCTGATTCTGAGTGGGGGGTTTTTTCTCCCCGGATCTCCACATTTTCCTATTTTAGTGCCCCTCTCAGAAGTCCCACCAGAGACCTCTTTACTTTTGTCTCCAAAGCCCTATCCCCTTGTCTACCAATTCAAATTCTCACTATCACTGATCACTCTCCCTCCACAAAAAAAAAGTGAATACAAAATAGGTATCAAGAGCACAACACACTGAAAACTAGACAGAACTGCCCTAGGATATACAAAAATTTAAATAAATAGTTTACATAAAATAGCTACAGCAGCACAGAGACCATGCATTTTTCTAACTTTTGACACAAATATTCAAGATATCACAAAAAGGCCACGCATTTCCTTACATTGATTAAAGATTTCCTGCCTGTTCTGTTAAATTTTGTATCTTGTATATGAATATTGTTTTTATATTTTATTGTACCCTACTGTATCACAAATGTTTTGTGGACCCAGGACATACTTGAAAAACAAGAGACATCCCAAGTGTAGCTTTCCTGATAAAATATTTTATAAATAAGTTTGCCTGGCTAAATTTCAGTCTAGAAGAGAGTGAGGAAGCACACACACTGAAAGAAAGTTTTGGTAGGAGCCAGCTACCTACTATTCCCAGCATTGCAGAGGCAAATGTTAGAAAAAAAATAAATAAAAAAAAACCAACCCCCAACAACCCTGAGTAAAGTTTCCGGAAAATAGGGGGGCGGAGCCTAGCACCCAGACTGAGAGGTTGTGCTGCATCTCAGCTCCTGCCTAATCCTGCACTTTTTGGGGGTAATCACCCCAAAATCTGGCACAATCCCTCACTGGAGAGTATTTATCATGACGGGGACACCCGGGGGAATCACCCGATACCAAAATCAAGCATGCAACCCTCCGGGGACCCGACCATATAACCCGAGGCCTGCCGGAGATCGAACTACAGGGAGACGGCCGCTCCCCGCGCTGACTGACCTGGACTTGGTTACCTTGGGGCACTCACCTCCTATCTCCCCCCCCCCCCTATGGACCGACGGGGGTCATCTCGGTCCACATTAAGCAAATGGAGGGGCAGTAACAAGCGGCAACGCCAGGACAACCGAGCACATGGCACGCCTAAAATGGCGGCGGTACGCACACTGTGCAAGACATCGGAATGCCATACAGGGGTGCCGGATTGCGCGACCAGATTACATGCTATATTTGAGGCCTTCTGGGAGAAATTGGAGTTCAAGGCAAAGCAGATTAAACAAACACAATGCCTAAACAACGAGATGCTCAGGCAACACAGCCGCAAACAAACGGCTCCTAACCTGCACAGGGCCTCGAGATGGCGCCGCAGGAGGAAACGTCCCCCGCACAAAAGCCACCACGGGAGAGGTCACCTAGCCCCAAACCGCAACCACGGAGTGCTGCATACGCTCCGCACACCCGGTAACCAACCGCACTCTTCTTCCGAGCCGGGAGCTCACCTGGAGGTAGCTCTCCACCACCACCCATACACCCAGGGCCGGAGGAACCCTGGGCCCACGACCCTGTTGATGGGGTCAATGGACATGTGGTAGGGGCCCCCACTAAGGCCTCGGGCCGAAGACATGCGAAAACACCCGGGAGTGACAGGAGAAGAAACGCAACAAGGAGGATAAAGCGGCCGGTCGGAATGGGCAGGCAAGAAAAGCAGGACAACCTCCCAGCCGAATGCAGGTTAGAGGGGGCTTCCCCCCAATGCCTGATGAACTGGCCCTTGATTCTTGCACCGCCATCCCACCCTGTGGCGTTGGCTGATTTCTCAAGCGGACGACTGCAATGCCCATCACCCGGGACTTCTACTAACCATTGCAAGGGTTATAACCGGCACCAAGCTAGTGTTAGCTTTGCAACTGTCACACCAGGCCTAAGCCTCACGGCATAAGACTTAGCAAAGTATTACTAACTGTGTATTTCCTTAGTTACTCACCTAAGTGTAACCTAAGCCAATTGACAGGTTACCCTGCGAGGTAGAACTAGCTAGGCTTTGTTTATTTAATTGCTGATACTACCATGTTAGAATAACTGTTCACCCAAGCAGTGTTAGCATCAAAACACAGATTAGCAATGTTTTAATACTGAGTGGAAACTTTGTGTTGTACCTACCTATTTGTGATGCCACGCTACTACCTTGAAATGCTAAATTCAAGCTCTCTCCTCCCTAGGCTATGCGGTGTTATAAGCTTACTATAATGTTCAAGCACACAACTGATTAACTGCTTTACCTAGTTTAACGACTAGTACATTCAGGTCACACTACGCATTTCCTAACAAAAGTACTACCAGCTTTATTTTGTTTTATGCTATTGTTAAGCATTTACAACCTTACTTAGTTAAGCTCGACAGTTAGGCACCCGTAATGTGCAAACCACTAGTGCTACCATATGAATCACCTACATTATCTTGACTAATTCATGTTTCTTCTACAAAACTGTTCGGTTTAATCGTTTTTACTAACCTACCTAGCACGCAATGAAACCGATTAGTCACAAAGATATTCTACACCTAGCCAGCCAAGTGTTTCACTATCTCTATTACCCCAAATATAAAAATTTTGTGCTATGTTCGCAAGATGCATAATATTATCTCTAACTGTTCTCAATGTCATACTACATGTATCTTTGTATGTTCTACAGATCCTCACGTTTGCAGTTGTGGCAACGCAGGATGTATTGTACTTACAAGCACGACCAAAAAGAAAGAATTAAAAAAAAAAAAAGCCACTTCCCTAAATGACAAAATAATTCAGTTCTTAAAAATCCAGCTCACTCATTAAATGCTAAATCCTTTAAAAACCAAACATTTGTTCTGAGGAAATCAAAGATCTAACCTGAAAAGGAGACCCAAGGGCCATTACAGCTCTGCAAAAAAAAAAAAAAAAAAAAAGCTTTCCTGGGCAGCTAGGTACAACTAGCAATAAGGTTTTATTTGGGGGTGTAGGGGACGCAACATCACACAAATTAAAGTCTCATCTGTATTTCATCCAGGGTTGAATCCCCTTAGCACTGAAAGAAAAAAGCGCATTTAAATTTCTGCAGAGCCCAATGGTGCCTGCTATTCATGGGCTCAGGATGTACTCACTAGTCCACCGAATGAGGGCATGCAAACAAACATGTACACAGTTGACATTTGCCAGCCCAGAACTCCTATTCCGGGTTAGCCAATTAAAGAAAGCCAGATGAGGGAATGTGCAAATTAGAGGCTGAGCAATGGATAGCCAGGTGGTGGGTGTTGCATTAAGAGATGCTGAAACAGGAGAGTAAATCTAAAGTGAAAGTAAATTGTTTTACATTGAACACACCATGTACCTGTGATACATTTATAGGGAACAATTGCAGGCCAGTTAAATACACCCATAGAAACCCTGCCCCAGCAACAAGTACTTACAGCATACTCTTTTCTAGCTATGCCAATATATAACCTTACTACAGTTCATAGTTTAAAACGAGATATCCCCCTTTCCATCATTTGTGCTGAACTTTAATGTTTTCAGACGTTAAATATTTTGCCGATTCATTAAAACCCAGTTCAAAATAGGAAAAAGCGGGGAAATATGGAAGAGATTATTTCTTTGTTTAGTTTTTCCATCTCAAATTAAACTGAAAATTAAAAAACTTGATCTCCAATAAGAGTGCCCAAAACAGATCCCCATATTTAGAACTACAAGCTTTGCATCCCATTATAACAGCAAAGCAACATGGAAGCTGTAGTATTAACACCTGGTTATCTACCTTATTGTGTAAGGAGTATGCAAGTCTCAGCCAGGAGAGAAAGTTAGGTCACAGGCAACCTTTGGCATGCCAGATGTTTGTGACTACACCTCCCATGATGCTCTGCAAACATTGTGGGGATGTAGTACCATAGGTTGCCTATCACTGCATAGGGCATAAACAATGAGTAAACTCCTAAATGGCAGACATTAAGCAAAGATTGCAGGGTCATGATTTATCCGCCAACGCTACTTCATTAAAACTGAATCTCGGTGCTTAATGTCCTTTTAAGCTACAGATTGCACAATGATAGTCTAAGCAGTGTTACAGTTTATTTGCAGAAGTGAATTCATGGCTCATTTCCCCCCTAGTTATATGCATTGCAAAGTCAGACACCATACATGCAACGTAGCTCAAACGTCCATAAGTCAAAAAAATAAATCAGTAACCAACAATTTTCTGGATAAAAATAAACATCTTTAATTATAATTTTTTTTTTTTTTTACAGTTTATTCTGCAAATTAAGTGGCAAAGGTGTTTGGGCCATGCTTGCCCTACATCCAGTGAAACAGAGAGATCATAAGACCATGGAAACTTGATGTGTCCATATGAAGCATCTTCATGATTTCTTACATGCTTGTTTTTCTTGCTCAATAGCTGTTGATAAAGAATAGCAAAATAAAATAAGGCAGTAATGTAAGAGACAGTAACATTAAGAGTAGCATTTACCAGTTGTAATGTAAATGTTCCTGGACTCTTAAAGTGAGCTGGTCATGCATAAAGACTTGCTAGAGTGTCTAGATTAGCTACACTAGCTTGAATGTGTTAATTCTCACAAACATGCTGTTCTAGAACAAGTCACACTTCAGTTCCTAGAATGAGTGTGAGATTGTATGATGCCGGTCCATTATTACAACCAAGTCTCCCCCCTGCCCCCCATGGCATTGCAATAAAGTGAAGGTCAGCTTAGCACTATGGGAATAAATGCACAGTTTCCCCAGCCACACCTATCAGCATCTCAGATGCAGTGAATCAATGTATCTATTAACGTTCATCGTCTCCTTGCAGAGTGTTGAGACGCTGAATGTCAATGTGCAGCAGTGACCCCAGGAAGCAACTAGTGGCAGCTTGACTGCCACTGCAAAGGCAGGGATTACATTAAGATGCCTGCAGGGACACTACAGACACCAGAACAACTACATTATGCTATAGTAATTGATGACTAGTGTCCCTTTAGGAAGATATTTTAGTTTTGACCAGAAGATGAAAGCCAGCTGTAATAACCACTTTCCCAGTTAGTGGGGCTCACTGACTGGTCCTTTAAATAGCCAAGCCCTAGTTAAACCATCTAAACAGGTTTTTATCTCCCACCTGACAGATAAGATCTAATTTTACTTGAAAGATGAATTTATCTTCATGATATGGGTTAGAAAACAAGACATGTGAACAAATTAACTAATCTATGTATGTCTGGATGGGTAGCATCTAGGTCCAACAGTGTATTCTCTCCACACTAACTTGTTCCATAAAACCCATTCTGAGATGAACGGTTTCTTGCATAGTAATTTTAGTCTGCAGATCCCTACTTTAAAATTATAGCAAGGAAATTTTTATTTTTATTTTTACTACTTACTTTCCTTCGAGGGTAGGGTGTTCTTCTCCTCTGTGTTAGTTTTCCGAAGTTTCTTCGGGTCAAACTTCTCTACCTCTGACAGGTCTGGCTTATCAGACATTTTGGCTGCAGAAGCGAAAAACAGAATTTAGAGCAGTAGAAATATCCCCGTGGGTGATGCCTAGAGCACGTACACAAAATACAAACAAACAAAATCGACAGTTCCGCTATGGACACGCAAAGCTGGTCGTTTAGACAATTTAGTCGCCTGAGCTTAGTAAAATCAGCAACTTTTTTGTTCAAAACACACCCCATAAGTAAACCTCATAGAACCAGATTGTTGCACAACACCAGAGAAAGCAATCAGACGAATCGCGCAGACAATAGAGCCCAAGGGTGGACAAACCAGGGCAAGAACTGCAGGGTGTGACCAAGTGCACACGTGTCTAGACAGGCTGCAGAGGATTTCTCTCTCTTTTAAAAGAGAAAGGGAGGTCAGTGACGCAGAACACTAAAAAGTCAGTTTATAGAAAGATTAGAACGCTCGGAACATATTCCAACAGAACATTTGATAAAATACACTGCAGATCGCACGATACATTTGATCCACTAAACAGTGAAATCTAAACGATGCCTGATCCATTCCAGCTGCTTTGACGAATTCTCACAGATCAGCTATTCAAGATTAATATGATCAAATTAATTTGCAGTTCATCGTTTGGAGAATAAACATCTCCAAAAGATCTCTTTAAGACTCATATCAGGAAAACAAGGGGTACAGTGACATATGGAAACGTTACAAAGAAAGACTTTCAGCACAAGTAGCTGGGTAATCTGTCTCCCTCCCCTGCAGGTTTAAACAAAATAACCCCCAATCATACCTGGTTTTTATAAGGTCAGTACAGACGAAATATGCGAAGTGGATAACGTGATTGAAAGATTCCTTCTTAAATACTGGCGATGAACACGCCCACCTCTTCACTTAGGCGTTTACCCGCGCCCTATTAAACCCCTCCTCGATGTGATAGTATTATTACAACTATACCTGCCAGTGATATCTGCAATTAATTCGGTTACATGGCCATTATGGGGTGTGACACAATATGCCATTCTTGCTGTGAATCATCTGAAAATCCCTTTTGTATACATTTCTGTGTCACCTAAGTGTGTGAGACCAAATTGTTGATTTGATAGTTAACAATATAAATTGGTTAAAACTGTGCAAGACTACTTAGCAGACCAGGTTTAGCACATGGAACCAATGTATTCTAGTTTTCAGTAAATTAAATTGCAGTCCAGTTGAGAGAGAGAAAGAGAGAGAGAGTTATTCACTAAAGTAAAACTTCAAAATTAATTTAACATTTAAGGTGAAAATAGTTGAACTAGAATAATTATTTTAAGCAGCCATGCTTTCACTTCAACTCAGCTACTTTGGTCTTAAATTTGAAATTCACTTCATTTCAAGTGGACAAAGAGGGACGCTTTAATTGTAGGGGTGTGTAGCCAGGACAAGGGATGTTCTGAAAATTTTAGGTGAGTTGTTTTAATTGCATTTTAATTGTTAATCTATGTGACTAAAATGTAATTTTGAACAAGTATTCACACCAGGCTGACTTACCATTAACTTGGGTGGACCTACCTCTTTCTGGCGAGACCACCACTTTGAGGGTGGAGTTGGCAAGGAGATTGGGTCACTGGCCCATCCCCTTTGTTGCTCTTCCATTCCTGGTTCTCAAGATATCGGAGTTAGGAGGTATGCTACTACTAGAACAAAAATGTGTATCTTGCATCTCTTTTGTTAAATTAGTGTCCCCCTGGACAAATAGGGAAGGGGGAGCATGACTGCTGCCCAGGATAGTGGGATGGTATAATGGGAGCAACAATGTTGCAAAGATGGAAGGACTCATAAAGGGGGAACAAGGGAGGAGACTTACCAGTCAGAAGGAGATAGTCAGTCACCCTGGTTTAATTTTTTTTTTTCTTATCACTGACTGTACTTTTCTCCTGGAGTTGCTTTTTTCGTGTCTGTTGTGGAATACCTGGGCCTGCACAAAACAAAAAATCAATAGATCTTGACTACGTGAGGAACAGGCTTCAATATGGCCACCACATCTCTGGAGGAATTAGTAAAAATGATGGCAGCTTACCAGGAGTCCCATGGCTCCTTGGAACAGGTGCTGTCTCAAGTGCAGCAGACTGCAGGAGGACGTCTGGATCGGCCTGAGGGAGCTGAGGTGTTGTTGAGCGGGCGGAGGGCCAGGAGGTCGAGGCCTCCGTCGCGCTTGTCGCCAAGTCCTGAGCGGAGGGAGGAGTGCCCAGCGGTCCAAGGACGGGAGCGGCGATGCCGGGCGCTTGCCAGTGCGCAGTGTGACCAGCTGGAGGCGAAGGAGGGCCGGACAGGTACTTGCTGTATCCGGGTCCCAAGATGGCGGAGATCGGGATGGCGGGAACCCGGCCGGAAGGTCGCGCAGCCCGTGCGCTTCTCTTCCGGCGCGGGTAAGGGAGTCATCATCACGCACGCAATCCTGCGTGTGTGCAACGTCGGGCGTGATGACGCAAGGAACGCCGCGGCGCACATGCGCGCGGACTTCACGGGCTGGGGCCGGAAGATCTCCTGCGGTGCGTGAGCACCCCGAAGATACACAAAAAGGACCGCAGAGGTACGCTGCCGGTGCCTGCGGGTCCCAGGAACGGGAGGAAGATGGACTCCAATCCGGATCTGAAGAAGAGGATGTGGTGTTCCCCAGTGGGATTCTGTTTGTTTTTTCTGAGGCACCGTCGTTTGCGGGCAATTTACGTTCGGTTTCGGGAAAAGAGGATATTCTGGGACAGAAGTTGGAAAAAGAAGTGTCCTTGAGCCGCATGGCAGGACCGTTTTCTGAGCCCCCGTTTGTTAACCTGCGAGTGTCGCCCCTGGGCTTGGTCCCTAAAAAGGAGCCTGGGGTCTTCCGTCTCATTCACCACCTGTCCTATCCAGCTGGCAGGAATTAAGAATTAAGTTTTACTGTTTAATAAATCTGTGGCCGTTGCCCTTATCCACTTAAAAGGTGTCCAGTGTTTTATTTGGGGGCAACGGTGGGATGGTAATGGGTCAGCAGTCATGTATTTTTAAACAAAGTTTAGATAAAAATGTTTTGGTATGCGCACCCAAATGTAATGTGCTACTCACAATTATGAGGCCAAAAAATGTTTACATTTCTTATTTTTAAATACATTTTTCAACTCCTTTTGAATTAACAGCAGTTTTCACTGTTACTGTTGTGTTTCTTTGTAGATTTAGATCACTGCATACCCCCCATCATTGAGAAGCTGAACGCTAGTGGGAAAGGGATAAAGGGGTTGGGTCAGGGATGTGATCGTCTCACTGGCTCTGCCCAAAGGAGGTGGACTTGCCTGGAAAGAGGTTGGGTACTCCTGAACTACTGATAGATCTGAATGGCATAAATGCATGCCAGGCTGACTGTCAATCAAGCAGTTCAGCCCACTGAGGGCAGGACATGTGGGGAGAACTGTTTTAGTGCTTTCTGCAGGGACGTAGTACCCAGAGTGTAACGTGAGCTATATTGGATGGTGGCAAACATGTTACTGGCCCTCCATTTTAAAATGATAAAAAGCTATAACACCTGTAACCCTTTGCTGGGATAGTCTACTCTTGGCAGCTGCTCCTCTACGGAAGAAATCATTAGTTGTGTTGATCCTTGTCCAATCCTGTGTTTCTCATCGAGAAGCCTTGTATCCAGTAGTCCTCTGTGAGAAGCATAAACATCATTTAGCATCATCATGCTGTGCCTGGATGCCACTAGAGGCATGTTCTCTGACAAATGTAAACATTGCGGCTTCTCTTAAAGGGTAATGTATACATTGCCAGAGAAAATGCATGGGATTTATAGTGTCCCTTTAAAGCAGAATTGTCACATCTGCGCTATTTTCAAAACTTGTAAGTTGTGCTTATTGTCATAGGCGTGCGCACGGGTGTGCCTGGGCACACCCTAATCTCCGCGGCACGCCTATGGAGTTAGACTGGCAGGGGAGATCTCAGGATCTCCCCTGTCGGCTCATGCAGAGCAGGCACTATCCATGAGCCGGCTCTGCTCTAAGCCTACCCTGACTGACCCACAGGCAGTGAGGGAGGCAGGAGAGGACCCGGGGAGCTCTTGCCAGAAGCTCCGCCGGGTTCCTCTCGCAAGATCTGAGCGTTGCCGCGGCAACGCTCAGATCTCGCGAGAGTGAACTCTAGCCCTGCAGGCTAGAGTTCACTCACCACTGGACCACCAGGGAAGGCAGCAGCACGGTCCTCCCTCCCTCCATAAGGTAAGAAGGGAGGGGGGATCTTTATTAACTAATCTGCCCCCACCTCCACCCCCACAAATCACCCAAACATACAGCACACACACACATGGATGGAGGTGAAAAATTTGAATTTAGCCTTTTACTGAGATAGTGTACTATGCGCACACATTCCTACAGGCTTCTACTTGCTGACTCGTTCACAGCGAGCGCTGACTGCAAATGAAAATGCAGAATACATCGGTTGCCAGCGCACAGTGCATGCTGGTGACAGATTAAATTTTTTCACAGCATTAACTATAACAGAGTTCTGAGCTGCCTAAGTCACGTGTGCCTGGGGTGCAGCTAGATCTCAGCATAAAAGAGTAGCTATCTCTCTGTAAGCAGTGTTTGAAGCAGAAATGCTGCACATATGGATTACTTGCTAAATGATCACTTCTATAAGCTTTGTCAGTTAGTCTCGGTCATGTACTCATTTTGTTGTGGAATATGTTTATTGTTCTGAAGCTAGATAATAAATATTGCATTGTTTAAACGTAGCACGACAAATTTATTAGACATTTGGCATTCATGTTTGGATACAAAGGAGTTAGCATTCTGTCTGCTTAAAGGGACACTAAGTACCAGATGCACTACAGCTTTATGTAGTCTTTCTGGGGAAAACAGACTGTCCCTGCAGTCTAGGCAAGGGGTTCCCAATTCATTTTTCCAGTGGAACCCTTTGACATAATGTATCAACATCATGGGACCCCAAACCTCTTCTCCCCCACCCAGTAAAAAAAATAAAATAAAACGTGTGCCGTTGCATACACCTTTTTTTTGTATGTGCCGGTGTGTGTGAAACACAGATACATACACACCTTGTGTGTGTGTGTGTATCTGTGTGTCAAAGGGTGTGTATCTGTGTGTGCCAGTGTGTCTGTGTATCAAGGTGTGTGTATCTGTGTATGTGCCAGTGTGTGTATCTGTGTATGAATCTGACACAAAGATACACACACTGGCACATAGCGGAACACAGATACACACACCTTGACACACAGTGCGTATCTGCGTGTATGTACCGGTTTGTCAAAGTCTATGTATCGGTGTGTCAGTGTGCTTCTGTGTGTGCGTATGTATCTGACACACAGATACACACACTGGCACACAGAGACACACAAATATACACACTCAGATGCACACAGTGACACATACACATATCTTGACTCACAAACACACACTAAGATACACACACTTGCACCCACAGATACACACACTGGCACATACACACAGTGTCATATACACACACACACATAGGCACATACAAACACACTGATATGCACTGGCTCACTCCAGCCTCTCATCTGCCATCTATGCTGCTTACTCTCTGGGCGGCCGTCTCCTGCCTCCTCCCTCTTTCCTCTCTACCGCTCAGCAGCAACTCTGTGAAAGTGCTATCACTTCCTCCCAGCCGGCCAATACTACAGGGGCCCAGTCACGCTCTTAACGGGCAGCTGCATCTGACTGGGCCCCTGATTTGTGATAAAATCATGGTGGCCATTTTGTTTGGGGAAATCATGGCGGAACCCCATTTGTGTTCTCGCAGAACCCCAGAGTTTCCAATTGGGAAACGCTGGTCTAGGCAATGCAACTACTACATTTTCTGAAAAAGGCAGTGTTTACATTGCTGCCCCATGCTACTATCAGAGAGCCTCTAGAGGGACTTCCTGTCTGCAGTCCTGCAATCTTTGCAGGATCGATGTTCACTCAGTGTCTCCACACTTTGGATGGAGATGCCGAAAGCTCTTCATAGAGATGCTTTGAGTTACTGCATCTCTATGTGGTGATGCTGATTGGTGCAGCATGGAAATTGCCTCACGTGCACTCACCCCCCAATGCTTCCCTAGAGTCAATGCATATCTATGTGGTGATGCACATGCACACTAGCCCCCCAATGTTTCCCCTTTGAGGAAGCTTTGGATTGGCTGCGATCATTAGTATTGATCACAACAAGACCAGCTCCAGGACGATTATGCATAAGTTAATCTTCGTTATTTTAATAATAAATAAACAGTGTGATAAAAACGCCTGTAAATATTTAAATAAAGTATACAGCAGCTCTGAAACGGTTGTGTAGGGTAACCTTTCTTCACTCACCAAACAACAAGAAATCCAAAATATTTTATAAGTTAAAATGTATAAAAATAGTGGGGTGCTATAAAATAAATATCTCACCTATATTTTGTGTGCAAGCATATTGCACTATTATTTCTTTTTGCTTTTGTCACGAGAGTGGAAACTTTTCCTTGAAACAAGGTGTAGTGCTGCCTCAAAGATCACAGCATTGTTTCTTATTCACAGAGTGTTATTACTATCTGCACTATAGATTGTATTTGGTTTTCATATGGTGTTGTACTGATATCCCCACTTATTTGCATTGTACAAAGGGTAAGAAAGCATATTTTGTTTTTATAATATTCATTATTTAACTCTTTATGGAGGAGGGGGTGATAATCTATATAGTTCCTACATCATGTTAACCTTAGGAATGCATGTTTGTATTCCTAACATTAGAGTGCTCCTTTAATAACTTGCTTCATTGTTTCACTTACTAGATTTGTTAGAAAGCGATTTATACCTGTGGCATGTGGGCATGTTGTATATAAAGATTAAACGAACATTCCACTGCCCAAATACAAAACAAAAATTAACAAATCACTGTTTATATAGATATATTCCGGATGCAACACAGACTTCCCAAAGCAGCTTAATGCGAAGTCTTCACAAGGCAGGTGCTCCACTAAGCTAAACAACCAGGAAGTAACATGACCTGTTGTCTGCTTACAAGCCAGGGGATGTAACAAGGTTCATTTATAAAAGTGCACATTTTTATTGAAATCTGCACTTTAGGTAACATGAAAAAAAGAAGGATACACTCTTCACACATAAAACACTTCAGCAAGCTAACGTGCTTTAGGGGTGTGGAGCGTCCCTTTAAGCCTGGGCAACTCTCACTTTTTTGACTGTTATTAGATTTATGTCTTTAATATGAAACACAGTTGTGTCTGTATTTTGTATCCCCTGTTTTCATGTACATGTTATTGTAATGGGGTTAAGTAGACACTTTAGCCACCAGAACCACTACAGTTGTATGTAGTGGTTTTGGTACAAAGAGTTTCTCCCTGTATTCTCTTCTTTGTAATCACTGATCATCATTGGTATAATACAACTCAATAAGAAATGCTGATTGGAGCAGTGTGGCGATTGCTGTGCATGTGCAGTAGACCTTCCAATGCTTCTCTGTGAAAATGGATTAGAGATCATCAACTGGAAGAAGGTAATATCTGGTAATGTTAATATTATTGTTATTTATAAAGCGACAACAAATTCTGAAATGCTGAGCAACAGGTGGACTAACAGACAAGTAATTGCAACAAGACGAGCTAGATGGACAGGAACAGAGGGTGTTGAGGGCCCTGCTCAAACTAGTTGACATTCTATCAATCTTATACAGCACATTAAGCATAGGCGTGCGCAGCCTATTGCATTAGGGTGTGCACCCTAAAGCACAAGCACACGCCGCGTATATATATATATATATATATATATATATACACACACACACACACACACACACACACACTGCTGTGTGTGTGTGTGTGCTGTGTGAGGGTGCGGTTAGTGTGATGTGTGTGTGTAAGGGTGCTGGTAGTGTGCTACGTGGGTGAGGGTGTTTGTGTGTGTGTGTGTGCGCGCTTGTGAGGGTGCTGTTAATGTACTGTGTGTGAGGGTGCTGTTTGTGTGTGTGTGTGCTTGTGAGGGTGCTGTTTGTGTGTTTGTTAGGGTCCTGTTAGTGTGCTGTGTGAGGGTGCTGTTTGTGTTTGTGAGGGCACTGTTAGTGTGCTGTGTGTGTGTGTGGGTGCTGTTTGTCCCCCTCTATAACAGATTCCTCATCCTTTTATACCCACAATCACTGTTATAGCCACACTTCCTGACCAGCCCTTGGCCTGCAAGTAAGTCAAATCGTCCTGTGCCTCCTTCCCTATTGTCATTGCTCCCCAGTTATAGATTCTTCATCCTTTTATGTCCATTGCACCCTTGGCAAATTCATACTTCCTATCTCTCCTGGTTCCGTTCTGCTTGGGCGTAGGAGGTGGATGGTGTTTAGCGGAGAAATAAGCTGTCAATTGGCTCATCTTGCATCTTGTGAATACACACAACTCGCATGGCAGATGAGAGGCTGGAGTGAGCACGCAGCAGCTCACTCCCATCAGCTTCAGCCAACATCACCAGGACCACAAGCAAGCCATCCTCCTGGACACACAAGGTAAGTTAACAGGAGAGTGGCTCTGATGTGTTTGTATGTGCCAGTGTGTGTATGTGTCACTGTGTGTGCCAATGTGTGTATCTGTGTGTGTATGTGCCAGTGTATATCAGTGTGTTTGTATGTGCCTGTGTGTGTGTGTATATGACACTGTGTGTATCTGAGTGTGTGCATGTGCCAGTGTGTGTATCTGTGGGTGCAAGTGTGTGTATCTGAGGGTGTGTTTGTGAGTCAAGATATGTGTATGTGTCTCTGTGTGCCTATTTTTATATATGTTTTTGATCCAAAAAAGAGGAAGGAGGGACTAAGTGCTAGTTTCAAAATACTATATTTCAAACACGATTACACATAATGATACAACAAAATAGAGTAACCCTTTAAAATAGATATAGAAGGCTAGCAGTTACACAAATGGTTTTATTCTTTAAATTCCTAATGAGCCCGGTCTAGACTTCCAAATATAATTCATACAGGGACATTTGGACTGCAAAATAAAGACACTGTTCACAAGATTTATTAATGTCTGAATTTTACAACAAAAAACAAGAAAGTCCAGGTAAGTAACCAGAAACAACAATAAAAATGACGGTCCTGCACACCTTCTGAGTAGTCAGCAATCCTTTTAATTTTCTTTCAGTGCAAAGAAGACAACGTTTCAACAAAGTTACTGGTCTTCGTCAAGACGTCAAGATTTATTGTTGTCTGAATTTTGCAATACAGCCTCTGAATGGACTTGAATGTCATCAAGATGGCACTCCAGATGGATGAAATCCAGAACTGTATTGTTGTACCTGTACCTGAATTTTTAAAAAACTTCACTATTTGCAATAGCAACAAGGGAGCCAATAATAGACAACAAATTCACAGTAGTGCAAAGGTTAAGTGGCTGGTTGATACCTCATCCCTTAAGCAATAATGGAGGTCCTGTCACTGGTTTCACTGCCCAGAAATCGGGGATTAAAAAGAATCATGATCGGCTGTCAAGTCACTAAAGGACCTATTCCAATAACGGTGTGATGGGATCTGTAAAGGTTCTAAACAGGCAAGCCACTGGTCTCCCTGTCCCCACCTCTAGCATTAGGTGGGGCACATTAAAGGCATCACACCAATCTAGTAAATAGACTACACCCTATCAAGGACCCTGGTGGAAGTCTAGATCCATAGTGGGGATTTAAACCGCTACTGCCTGTATGACAGAGAGTTAGTCCTTATAGCTCTGCACCACGTAAGTGCGGCTCTCTTACATTTAATCATTTCTATTCCAGCAAATGTAACAGCGTTACACTATATTTTTGTATCTCTTCTGTCAAGGTGGAATTATAGAGAAAGATCACTGGCTGGCAATATCACTACAAATTATACTTTTCCTCACACAACATACCAGTACTATTTTTTATACTTTTTTTATTTCAACAAAGTTTTAAAGGGACTTTTGTTATAAGTGTTTGCTGCCTATTAATTAACAAAAGCGCTGTATTATTTTATATCGGTTTTATTTACAGTTAAAGTTTCTCCACTCATGGATCAGTTTACTATATTTTAAATTAAATTAAACATTTTATGTAGGAGTAGTTTTTGATGCTGATAAAGGGTCACTTCTAATGATAAGTATATACCTCTCAATCTTTGACTGGGGTCAATTTGCAGCTCTTGGTGGGCATCTGTTGAAGACAGTTACTACAAAAAAATGCTATTTTATTTATTTTATCCAGAGAGCTTCTTTTGGGACTGATGACTTCAAGATAGGAGGATTGGGCTGTCGTTAGATTATTTTTATATATATATATAGAAAGGTTGAGCCTGTAGGTGGAGCCTGACATTGTGGGAGGGGTTACCCAGCCTGTAAATCCACAGGCCACCCATTCCTCTGGGCGGATACTGCTTGGATCAGTATAGAACCATCTACTTCCAATTCAAAAGTCGTCAACACAAACTACTTAAGCTCCAAACAAGCTGGTCTTGGCCTTCTGCGGCCTACGCAAGTATTCATTTTTACGTAGTTACATAGCTGAAAAGAGAAATGGGTCCATCAAGTCCAACCTTTCTTACATTTGTTTTTGCTGTTTATCCAAAAGAAGGCAAAAACACAGTCTGAAACACTTCCAGTTTAGCAGCAAACTAGGGGAAAAAAATCCTCTTGACCTCAGAATGGCAGTCCGATATCTCCTTGGATCAAAAAGCTATTATCCAACTAATTAAGAATGTTATATTCCTGTAAATTATGTTTTGCAAGTATTTATCCAATTGCTGTTTAAACATCTGTACAGACTCTGATAAAAGCATCTCTTCAGCCAAAGAATTCCACATCCTTATTGTTTTTACTGTAAAATACCCTTTCCAATGGCCTTACACGAAATATCCTTTGTTTCAGTCTTAATGCGTGACCTGATGTCCTATGTATAGTCCTGTTTATGAATAGTCTCCAACAATGGATCTAATAAATTATTGTATCCACATAGGGAGAGACTCTTTGTGGGAAAACTGGGTTTGATAGAACAATCGGTGGTGTGGAAGTTGGAGGCGTTAAAAGCACAACACAGTGATTTAATGCCTGTGAAATGACGGGGGAATAGTTCTGTGTCTGATAGGTTCTGAGCTGAACTGATGTTGAATTGAGCCAAAGCCGCAGCAGATTTGGCCTAAAAAGATTTATCCCAATGTATGCACAAGACCTTGGAACTGTTTTCATCTCAGAGTATTCCGCTGTCTTAAGATTAAACCATAGGCCCCTCCTCCAGTTTCATTTTCTGGGTATACAACTGTATATTACATTCCAAAACTCCCCACCTCTTCCCGAAGGCAAGTTCAAGCATATCAGGACACGTGGAGTCCTTCCTTGGCAAAAATGTCTGTTCCTGTTTGGATCTCCAGTTTCTCCTTGGTTCTCTGATCTTTGCCATATGCATTTACCACAAGGTCGCAACTTCATTTCTCGACTACTCAGGTGGCTCCCTGGTTACCTATCGATAATTGCACTGAGACACTCGATGCTCAGGCTCGAGCAGACCTGTTTATGGGGCTACATGTCTTATCCCACTGGAACGGGAAAGCCATGTTCCTTCCCTCACTGTCTGACGAATCCCCAGTTATCTGAACTGACACTGCTGCCCACACTGGATTTGCAGCTACATTCAAGAATAACTGGTTCCATGACATATGGCCCGCAGAGACGCAGAGCCTACGCTCTTTTAGTTAAACTTCAGCTGTCTTTGAAGTATACTCTATCGTGGCCACTGCACACACCTGTTGGTCTGTATGGAGGGGGATATCTGTTAATTGCTACTCTGGCAACACAGCAGCATGTGAAATTATAAATAAAGGTCAGTCCTCCTCACTAACAATAATGAGGTTAATTGGGAAGTTGACTTGGCTGACAGTAATACAACAGTCTTACCTGTTTTGTTGTCACTGACCACAAATATACATTTATATAATTTGTGTGTTCTTTTAATCACTCGGGACTGAGGGCAAGATGAGACAGCTGTCTCTGCAGTTGGAGCATGCAGGAGCAGTGCAGTAAATGCCATGATTGCTACAGGCAGTCAATTAGATATTTTGATCTCCTCTATCTAACCAATCACATGATTATGCACTTTGTTTGCACCAGAGAAAGGATGGTATGTAGGGTATCTATGGTATCAACATCATGCGTTGGAGATACCTGCTACTGTACTAAGGATTGGATGCAGAGGCAGTACCTAGAGGTAGGGCATTTTTTCACCTTACCAAAATTAAATTGTTCCCTGGCTGAAAATGTCTCCAAGTATGGAGTTTAAATGCTGCCTCCTCCTCCAAGTGCTGCCTGGGTCCAAGGAACCCACTGCAAAGCCCTATGGACTGTTTCTGTTGCTGTATGCATATTTTAAGGAATACTTATGCTCCTATGCTGAATACATGCAAACTAAGCTTAATTTCTACCCATACTGCAAACTCTAGTGACAGAGAGTTGAACTCATTTCACTGGACAGTTCAGCAATGAGCTCAGAATTCTGGCATTAACTGGATCTTTCATATCACAAGACCCTCCAACCTTAGGATCAATTGAAAGTTATAATAGGCTTCTAACAGAGCAAATTTGGAAACTCAAATAGAATACTGCATGAGTATACTGACAGGACCATCAGATACCGTAACAGTGGCTCCATGCATGGGCGTCTTGCCCCCCCTGGATTTTTCAGCTTGTGCTGGAGTTTTTGTTTTGAGAGTGAGAATACACTGCAGTACTGGCGCCGGCCAGTAGGTGGTGCTGTGTGTGTAGAGTGCCAGGGATAGGTAACTACATCTTATCCCTGCTTCTCTCTGACTGAATCCGCATGGGAGCAGCACAGAGTGCAGCCAGCAACTCACAGACTGCAGAGACAGCCTACAGATCAGGGAAGTGAGGCATGGGGGGGCAGCTTACAGATCAGGTAAGTGAGGGATGGGGGGCAGCCTACAGATCAGGTAAGTGAGGGATGGGGGCAGCCTACAGATCAGGTAAGTGAGGGGGGGGCAGCTTACAGGTCAGGTAAGTGAGGGATGGGGGGCAGCCTACAGATCAGGTAAGTGAGGGATGGGGGGCAGCCTACAGATCAGGTAAGTGAGGCTTGGGGGGGCAGTCTACAGATCAGGTAAGTGAGGGATGGGGGAGCAGTTTACAGATTAGGTAAGTGAGGCATGGGGGGGCAGACTACAGATCAGATAAGTGAGGCATGGGGCAGTTTACTGATTAGGTAAGTGAGGCATGGGGGGCAGACTACAGATCAGGTAAGTGAGGCATGGGGCAGTTTACAGATTAGGCAAGTGAGGCATGGGGGGCAGTTTATTGATTAGGTAAGTGAGGCTACCCTTGATAAAGGCTACCAGGAGGAGCCGAAATGTTGGGGGTTTTTGTTTTTTGACTTGTGTTTCTGCCCGATTAGGCTTGTGGAGTGTGGTAAATATTTATTTCTGTATATTGTTTGCCTAATGAGTCACTTATTGCTGTATTAATATGGTATTTGTACTTGTGATGTAATAAATACAGATAGAGACTTTTTTGTGGTCTTTTGGTGTGCATTCTGTGTTTGTTTATTAAGTGAGGCATGGGGACCAGTTTAAAGATTAGGTAAGTGAGGCATGGGGGGCAGTTTACAGATTAGGTAAGTGAGGGATGGGGGCAGCATACAGATCAGGTAAATGAGGCATGGAAGGGAAGCCTACAGATCAAGTAAGTGAGGCATGGGGGGCAGTTTACAGATTAGGTAAGTGAGGTATGGGGGGCAGACTACAGACCAGGTAAGTGAGGCATGGGGGGCATTTTACAGATTAGGTGAGACATTAGGGGAGCAGCCTACAGATGAGGTAAGTGGGGCATGGGGGCATGGCATCCTAAGAGTGAGGCATTTAGGTAAGTGAGGCATGGGGGGGCAGCCTACAGATCAGGTAAATGGGGCATGGAAGGGCAGCCTACAGATCAGGTAAGTGAGGCATGGGGGGCAGTATACAGATTAGGTAAGTGAGGTAAGGGGGCAGACTACAGATTAGGTAAGTGAGGCATGGGGCAGACTACAGATTAGGTAAGTGAGGCATGAGGGGAGCAGCCTACAGATGAGGTAAGTAAGGCATGGGGGGGCAGTCTACAGATCAGGTAAGTGAGGGATGGGGGGCAGCCTACAGGTCAGGTAAATGAGGCATGGAAAGGCAGCCTACAGATCAGGTAAGTGAGGCATAGGGGGCATTGTACAGATTAGGTAAGTGAGGCATGGGGACAGACTACAGATCAGGTAAGTGAGGCATGGGAGGAAGTCTACCGACCAGGTAAGTGAGGCATGGGGGGCAGACTACAGATCAGGTAAGTGAGGCATGGGAGGCAGCCTACCGACCAGGTAAGTGAGGCATGGGGGACAGACTTCAGATTAGGTAAGTGAGCCATGGGGCAGTTTACAGATTAGGTATGTGAGGCATGAGGGGAGCAGTCTACAGAGCAGGTAAGTGAGGGATGGGGGCAGCCTACAGGTCAGGTAAATGAGGCATGGAAAGGCAGCCTACAGATCAGATAAGTGAGGCATAGGGGGGCATTTTACAGATTAGGCAAGTGAGGCATGGGGGGCAGACTACAGATCAGATAAGTGAGGCATGGGAGGCAGCCTACCGACCAGGTAAGTGATGCATGGGGGGCAGCCTACAGATTAGGTAAATGAGGCATGGGGGCATTTTACAGATTAGGTAAGTGAGGCATGAGGGGAGCAGCCTACAGATTAGGTAAGTAAGGCATGGGGGGCAGTCTACAGATCAGGTAAGTGGAGGATGGGGGGCTGTCTACAGATCAGGTAAATGAGGCATGGAAAGGCAGCCTACAGATCGGGTAAGTGAGGCATGTGGGGGCATTTTACAGATTAGGTAAGTGAGGCATGGGGGGCAGACTACAGATCAGGTAAGTGAGGCATGGGGGGCAGCCTATCGACCAGGTAAGTGAGGCATGGGCGGGGGCAGCCTACAGATCAGGTAAGTGAGGCATGAGGGGAATGTGGGGGTACATCAGTGGATTGACAGGCTCTGCTAAAAAAGAAATTGCAATCTGTGTGTGTATCCAGCAGTCTTTGTGTATGTATTTAGCAGACTGTATGTGTGTATTCAGCAGTGAATGTATGTATTTAGCAGTCTGTGTGTGTGTATATAGCAGTCTAGAGGTGGGGAGCAGAAACCAAGGGAATGGAGAAAGAGAGGGGCTGGGGAAAGGGAAAATGACTCACACTGAGGGTCTGTGAAAGGGGATAGGAACACACAGAGAGGCTGGAGTAGAAAACAATGACAGTAGAGTCCTACCAGCGCCTTTGTGCTTCTCTTTCCCCCGTTTCTCAGCCTCTCTCTCACTCACTCCCTCCCTTAGTGGTTTCTCCTCACCCCACTCCCATACTGGTTTCTGCTCCACCCCCCTCCCCTAGTGGTCTCTTCTCACCCCCACCCTTTATTATTATTATTATTACTGGTATTTATATAGTGAATAAACCCCTTTGAATCTAACAATTCAAATTTAGCATTAAAAAATAAAAAGTTTATTTACAGAGGTTAGTTTTTTAAATTGGCATATTAATCCTTTGAGTGCCGTCCCATGTTATTATTATTATTATTATTATTATTGCCATTTATACAGGGCCAACAGATTCCACAGCGCTTTATAATATTATCAAAGGGGGAGATTTAATAATAAATGAGACAATTACAAAAACTTACAGGAACAATAGGTTGAAGAGGGCCCTGCTTGAACGAGTTTACAGTCTATAGGAGGTGGGACGTAAAACACAACAGGACAGGAGGTAGCAATCAAACAAGGTGGCGTGAAGCAGAACTGGAGGAGAGGATAGAGTGCTGCCCTTTATGAGAAAGCAAGGTATGTGAGTTAGAGGTTACTCTGGGACACCATAAGGGTAGGTATGAGAGGAGCGACAGGAGAGGAAAATCAGTCTAGCTGCAGCATTCATTACAGACTGTAGCGGGGCAATACGGCTTTTGGGAAGACCTATTAGGAGAGAGTTACAATAATCCATGCAAGAGATTACTAGAGCATGGACAAGCTCCTTAGTAGCATCTTTCATAAGAATGGGGCAGATGCGGGCTATGTTTTTAAGGTGGAATCTACAGGATTTGGTAACAGACTGGATGTGAGGCTTAAATGTGAGGCCAGGGGGCGGAGCTTGGCAGCCGATCCGAACGGACGCAGGACAGATGAGCTCCGTGTCTATCCAGAGCAAAATAAAGATTTTCAGCCACCAAACTGCGGAAAACAATGCCCAAACAACCCAAAACGGAAATGGGAAGGAAAACCAAGAAACAAAAACTGGACCGACCCAAACAGGGGGCCAACATAAGAGACCTCTTTAACCAGGCACAAGGTGCATACGGCCCCAAGATGGCCGCTGACCTCGAGGAATTCTCTGACTCCTCGGGGGATTTCTACCCAGAGGAAGCCATTACCACCCTACCTCCAGTGAGGCCTCAACAGCAGGCACCAAGCCCAGAGGCTGCAGAACCAGTGACGGCGACACTGCTGAAGACTCGCCTGGGAGACCTACAGAAAACCCTACAGGCGGATGTCGCTCAGCTACGCGCGGACCTCACGGGCCTAGTGGGCCGCGATCAAGCGGTCGAAGTCACCTCCGAGCAGCAAGCACAGGAAATATCAGAGCTCAGGCAGCAATTGCAAGCTTTAAAACAAAAGCAGGCCAAAACTGACCAACGCTTTGCGACAATAGAAGACAATAGGCGCTGCAATAATCTCAAGATACGCGGGATCCCGGAGGACATACCCGCTGAGGAAATCCCACGGAGGCTCACGGGAGCCCTACTGACGCCTAAGCAAGCCAGGAACATCGGCTTTGATGCGGCCTTCCGGATCCCAAAACCCTGAGAGCCCCTGAGGCGGCCCCCAGAGACCTGGTGGTAAAGTACAGGAGCACGGCCGACAAAATGGCGGTACTCGCAGCCCTGAAGGGAGCAGCCACCTACAGCTTTGAATCAATGACTTTGTCCTTCTTTGCAGACCTATCAGGGGAAACTCTACAGTGGCGCAGGTCCCTGCTACCTGTCATCAAACTGCTCCGAGAGAAACAGATTGCCTACCGCTGGCGCACGCCGCACACTCTACACATACAACAAGACAACAAGGCCTACTCCATTTCGGACATCCAAGAAGCACCCACCTTGCTGCGAACGCTGGGCTTGCCTCTGGAGGGGCTGCCGCCCACCACTGCACCGGAAACAACAGCAACGGTTCTGAGATGGGATCCAGCGAAGATAATCCCCTTCATCCCACAGGGAACGGGAAAACCGGAGTACGCAGCAGCGACCACATGAGGTCCCAGCACTCACACCAGGACATTCTCCCATAATGCAGGACAATATATTTTTTATGTATTTTTTTATTTTTAGTTTTCATAGTTTTGATTCTTGGCTCTTCACTTATCATTATTTTTAAACCTTTTGTTATGCTTCCTTATATGTTTTTAATGGCTGCCCTAGACTCACCAGGCTTTAAAGGAACCGACCTCGGGACACAATTATTCTCACAAATGATGTTCACTAAGCAGCCCCACTGCTTCCCTAACTTCCGCACCCACATAGCTCCTAGACAGAGACCAGGCCATGAGGAGCCCGCTCACTCCTTCGTCCCCATGCCTGCATCCCCCCCACTCCCCAGGGTCACAGGGGAGACTAACCTACTTGGCAGATCGCAGACCCTCAACCCCCCCTCACGGACACGTTACACATCACATAGGCCCCACATATTAGACAGGCGGACTGCCAGATACACGATAGACCACTAGACAAGGCATCTACTAGCAGCAGAAGGAACTCGCATGACATTACCCAGACCACTCATTACCCACCACACACACTATGTCGCCACTGTAATGACACGCTAGACAACATCCATTCATGCCTTTCGGGCCAACATTCAATTATTAAAAATGTGCAGGCTACAAACAGCCATATCCTTGACCAATGATGATTGTTATTATTACACTTGTTTCAACTACTATGGCATTTTCCAGCATGTAATATATCTAGTGCACGTGAAAAATAAAGAATTTATAAAAAAAAAATGTGAGGCCAGAATCAAGTATAACGCCAAGACAGTGCGCTTGCAAGGATGGACTGATGTGGGTACCACTCACTTGAAGAGAGAGCGAAAGAGGGGGATCAGTATTAGGAGGAGGAAAGATAAGGAGTTCAGTTTTAGAGAGAGTTTCAAAAAGCGGGAGGACATCCAATCAGAAACCTGCCCCCCACACACACTGTATCCCTCATACAACCTGCCCCCACACACACACACTGCCCCCCACACTGCACCCTTTACGCACAAGCTGCCTTACATACGCACACGTACACGGCACTCCCCCCATACACACACAATGCTCCCCCACACACTGCCGCCCCATACACAAACACACTACTCCCTGTAACGGACCATTTTGCCCACAAGAGGTTAAAAACCGTTTAGGCGATATTCCCCTTTCAGATGCACAGACAGCTACTGTAAGCACCAATCTCCCGAACTGCAAACTACACAAATTCTCCAACTCCCGAACAGAAAACTCAAGAATACTGGAAACAGCTGAACAGGAAAAACCATACAAAAGGTTTACACTCCTGGCAGTCAGCACACAATCCAATTCCCCCAATAACGAGACGACACTTCGTTTGAGGGTTAAGCAGAATCTGACTGTACTAGCACATACAGCCTCTTTTATTCCCAATCCACAAACATAGTACTGCCCACAGGGTTTTACAGAACAACCAATCAATCCGTACAATACACACAGACACTCCCACACAAAATCCTCCCCTCTGCCTGTGATATGATTACTGAACACAATGGGTGATATAATTATCACAGGCAGAGGAATACAGTTTTTCCACATTATTCATAACTTTGAACTTACATTTTCTGAATCAGCATACTCCAAATACAAACATATGTCAAAATCATCCATATTGGAATGTAACGGATCACCTGGCACCCCGACTGGGTACCTCCGTTGATGGATGTTCCTAGTGCTTCTTGAGGGCTCCAAGCACTCTAGTCGACACCACAACCACCACAGGCAGAACCTCTCTTCCTTCTGAGCGAAGCAGGAACAAGCTCTTAAAAGAGCATAGGAGTGATTATAGCAAGGGAATATGCAGAGCATAGTAATCCCTTGTAGCAGATTCCCCCCAATAAGAGACAGGACTCCAAATTGAGGGTGAAGTAGAACTGTCTAAAACTTTATTTTACTTGGGACTAGCCCATATGGTCATTACATTAACATTGCTGTGAAAAGTCAATAAAATTACAAACAATCAAATCATAGCAGGCAACATACAGTGACTTATTATAACATAATTACATATTTATAAATGGGTAGGGAAGACCATAAAACACAAAATGTCTCTCCTGCATGCAGAATTAGCGATATGCAAATCTACCCGAATAAGCAAATGACCAGTCTTGCTATTCAGGTAGTGCATATTACTGTTGCTACCAACAGAGGGCACTACACAAGCTCCATAGCCAAATCCACCTAGTTGGTAGCAATCCTCAGCAGTACAGGAGAGCAGGCAATACATCCCAGGGGCCATAGTCACATGGCAGGAGGCTGGCAATCAGTCTTCTCCAATGCCCAGTGGCGAGGCTGGTTCCGCCACACTCCCCATACACACACTGCCCCCCAATACACACAATTCCTCCCATACACACACACTGCCGCTCCATACTCACAAACTGTACCCTTCACACACACTGTACCCCTCACACATTGCCCCCTACACATTGTACCCCTCACACAACCTGCCCCCACACACAGTCTACCCCTCATACAAGCTGCCCCACACACACACGGCACCCCTTACACACACTGCACCCCTCACACTACTGCCCCTATCCCCTTCTACAGCCCCTATCCTGGCAAATCCCAGGTAAGTTGTTAAACTGTTCTTAAACAGTTTTACATCTTTGTAGCGGAGCTGCAATATTAAATCCCAATAACTCCACTGGTAAAAGAAAGTAATCCAAGAAAAGCGCTGAAATGAAGGCAATATCCCAAATCCCCCAGTAACCGGATGAAACACAGTTCTGGGAGTCAACTGAGGTTTTCATTCATATGCTCCAGTATTTATTTATTTTTATTTTTTTTTTTTTTTTTCTCTTAAAAAGCTTGTTCACAAAATATAGTGTTAACTCTTGATATCCGGAGCGAGATATCAATATCTTGAGGGAGAAAGCATTACTCTGTTTTTATACATACATTTTTGCATAAAAAATTAAAATAGACTGGTATGCCTAATGCAACACACAGGTACGAGGGAATCAGACTTAGGTGAATTGCTCAAAACTGGATAGATACAGGAATTCACCAAACACCTGTCTTAAGAAGTTTTTGTAATAGGAGAAAATAAAATATAACAACCTTAGTTGATATATATAGTCCAGGAGCTGATCCACCTAAAATGGCTTTACAAATAAACTCCAATGATGTCTGAAAGGAGCTAGAAGAAATAAATGTACTAATATTATATGGTGTATACACCTTTTAAATCTGCTATAGGCAGAGTAAATGGAGTGAGCACCAGATGCTATACTTTACATATACCAACTCCAGAGTATTTGAGAAACAGTATATACTTTACGTGGTTTCTTTCACTTTAATCCTCTTTTTTCTTTTACGTGGTTACTTTTTTTTTTTTTTTTTATGTTTTGAATTGTTTATTTTTGGAGTGCATGAAAATATAACACGAGGGCTCTACATGCCCCAACAGCAATGACAAGTACATAACCAGACATATGTTAACAGTTGGTCAGCATGCGTAAAGATCAGCACAATTTTTATATATAACAACATAAACAGATTTAGCGTTCCTGTCTAACCGATTAATGTATAACATGCTTGTTAGCAGGAGCTTTTCTAGGGAAGCTGGGTGAATGATTGCGGTCCAATAGAGAGTGAGTGTTTACTGCGAGAAGGTAGGTTATTTAGTGTGAGATGCCTCTCTACGTACAATACCGATTGAGAACTAGTAAAATAATAGAAAATTGAGCAAGCATACATCTAAGCAAGTTAGGTACACAAAATGCTATGATGCTCGGTAAGATAAGTTAGCGTTTCTGCAATATGTGAGCATGTTGTGCCATGTTTTGTAGACAGCCTGGATATGAGACTAGTCAATTGAGAGAACTTATGTAAGCTCATTACCGGTCTAACATTAATGTATGCATGCATTGATGACTGTATAGACAGTCTAGTGCATGTTGCTGATGATTAGTAAGAGTTAACAGGTACATCCGGTCTGCTGTGTCCCTATAGTATATGCAATCGCTTTGGTTAGAAACGATTGCATGGTTTGGGATCTGGTTAGAAACAGTGACTAAAATAACTAATTAAAATTAGAGTTCTAAGAAGATCTAAACTGAGACTGTTTCATGTATGCATGATCCTAGACCAGGTGAGAGGATCGCTTACCTCCTTGGTAGGAGTGGGTTGGCAGGCCTGGCAGCCGCTATAAATTGGCTGTATGAGTGGGCCGCGGCCCTAACGGTGATTTTGATGGGGCGCTAAGTAGTGGTTTTTGTGGCGTGTACCATTAAGCCTTCCTGGTTATGAGAGGAGGGTGGTTTGCTGCCGCGCCTTCCCTAACCCAAAGGTTGCGCTATTTGGAACGGGGGGGGTGGCGGTGGGGGTGCTCTCTACAGCGGCAAGATGGGCATGGGGGTCTGTCCTGCGTGCAGGGTACGTTAGCATTGTAAGAAACACCTAACAGTGTCACAGAATACTAGGAGAACAAGTCAAAAACAAAAGTTAAGAATAGAGAAAATAAAAACACTCTGTAACTAGGGGTCATACGGTCTGTTGGAGTCCAGTGGCTCCTTAGCCAGGTGGGTCTATCCTTCATGTCCCTGCGTTTCGGCCTGTGGCAGCGGTGGAGCGCGGCACAAATGGGACTATGTTGGAGACGTCCCAGGAGCAGTTAGGGGTCGGGTTAGAGGAGTCTATTGCTTTAAGTCCTAATTTACCAAGGAAAGTTTCTGCGTTTTCTGTCGATGTCAGTCGGTAAGTTGCTGCTCCCTTTGTAACTAATAGCACTGATGGGCCCCAGCGGTACCTAATTCCAGCCGCTCTGAGGGTCTTGGTGACTCGCTGCACTGACCGTCTCCAGGTTAAAGTAGCTCTACAAAGGTCCTGCAGGAAGGTGAGCTGCATGCCCTCGAAGTGGTACGGGCTCTGGCCGCCGAGCGCCGCCATCACCGCCATTTTGTCCCGGGTAGACTGTAAGCGGAGAAGGACGTCGCGGGAGGCCTCCGTTGGAGCTCTTGGTGACTTTGGGAGTCTGTGTACGCCTTCCACTAGCACAGTCTTCGCCTGCTTAGGGTTGAGAATTGTGGCTAAGAGGCGTCGGGTAAGTTGTGGCAATTCATTGTCGTCTATGGAGTCGGCAATGCCTCTAATTTTTATGTTGGAGCGGCGTCTTGCGTCGTCTAGGCCGTCTAGTCGTGCTTGTAATGCCTGATGTGAGGACTGGAGGTGTGTTAGCTTCTCCTCCGTTGCTTGTTGGCATTCTGCCATAGCAGTTAAGTCTTCCTCGGCAACCCTCACTCTGCCAGTGACGGCGGTCACTTCCTCCTGCAAAATTGCCATGTCTGAGCGGAATAGGGTGCGCAGGTTCTGTAGAATATTAAGGATGTCGCCCTTGGTGGCCGGAGCTCGCAGGTCACCCATTGCTAGGCTCGAGATGGGGTCTGTAGCCTCTGGTATGGGGTCTGGAGCATCCAGTGTTTCCTCATCTGAGGATGAGCTTTGGGGATCTGGGGTCGCCGCCATTTTAGGTTTAGGCCTCGCCAGGAAGAGATCTCCTATTTCCCGGGATCCGTCCTCAGGGTGAGTTTTTAACTTTTTATTTCTTTTCCCCATGGTGTCGTTGTGTGTGGGGGTTGAGAAGTAGTCGGGTTGTCTCCGTGTGGATCGATTAATCTGCATATATCTCCGTTATTGCTCGGGAGCTCCGCAGGCATGCGACTGCTCTCGGTGCGATCCAGGCCACACTACCATGCTCCAGTATTTATGTGATTCCCCATGCAAGGGGTTTCCTTAATCATCTTACAGGGGTTATACAGTATGGGACTACATGGGGAACTTAACATACAGGACATTTCTCCCACCATGCACTGCTGTACGAGAGGGATACTACCACAGAATATCCTGTTAAGTGGATTATCCCTCCGTACAGCAGAACCAAGCTTTTTATTCAAAAATATATAACTGGCACATTATTCGTGCTATTGGACCGAATGACATATGAGTAGATAGCTGGGATCTGAGCGCATATTTCAGTAGATTGCCACTCAGATCCCTGCGAAATTAGCCGAACGCCACACAAAATACATTTTAATATGGATTCTCCATAAAAGACTCGAATACATAGTGTGAGTGAAAGTTCGGGTGTTCCCGAACGAAGTCCAGCGGTGTTCGTACTGTCGAGTAGCCGATTTTAGTTCCAGGCACTCGATGACTGAACACCGCTGAGCTAAAAGTGAATCCAAGATGGCTGCCGCTGCGTGGTCAGTATCCGAACGGCGGCCACCCCACGAATCAATTAACTGGGGAACGCTACAATGTAGCAATCTGTTAATGGGAGCCACACGACCTCCTGTGTGTGGTCTCCCATTTGGTACTTTATGCGTTTCATGAACAGTGTTGAAAGTCACTGTTCGTGAAACTACCATATGAATGCTAACAGCTTTCGTGCCACTAGCATACGAATGCCCTCTATCACCTTTTACCGCGAACACATAAAACAACATAGGTTAAACAGCCTTTCTAGGACACCCATGAGATATATACAGTAATAGTCTGAAGTGGCTAGGTTTGCCACAATGCTCCCCCAGAACCAAGCCGGCATACACAGTCTGATCCCAACGGATCGGCTTGGGGATGTCCGGAGGAGTACTCACAGATCATTTCTCAAGTTCAGTTTGCCTTGATAACCCGTCGGCGTTGCCATTTTACTTCCCAGGGCGGTAATGAATGGTAAAGTCAAATGGCTGCAGCGCCAAGCTCCAGCGCAGCAGCCTGGCATTGTACCCAGCCACATGGTTCAGCCACACCAACGGGTTGTGATCTGTGACTAAGGAGAAAGGTTGTCCATACAAATAAGGCTGTAACGTTTTGAGGGCCCCCACCATGGCCAGGCATTCTTTCTCAATGGCGGTGTAGCTTACTTCTCGTGGTAATAACATTCTGCTTAAGTAAGCTACGGGATGTTCTCCGCCATCTGCTCCAACTTGGCTCAGCACTGCTCCCAACCCAAACATTGAAGTGTCTGTGTGGACAAGAAAGCGTTTAGTTGGATCAGGAGCAGCAAGTACAGGTGCATTGGTCAAAGCATTTTTAAGTTGTTGAAATGCCTGATCACTCTCTGGGGCCCAGATGACCTGTTGAGGAAGATTTTTGCGGGTCAAGTCAGTAAGGGGTTTAGCCAGGGCACTGTAATTGGGTACAAACTTTCGCTAGTACCCTGCGGTACCCAGGAAGGCTAACACTTGGGATTTTGTCCGGGGGTTAGGCCACTTAGTTACAGCCTCTATTTTGGCGGTTTCCGGTTTCTGTTGCCCACTCCCTACCTTGTGACCAAGATACTGTACCTCCGCCATCCCTATGTGACACTGCCTCTCCAATACGGTCAATGACAGCTCCAATATGCCTCAGATGGTCTGACCACGTCTGGCTATATATGGCAATATCGTCCAGCTATGCACATGCATATTCCTGGAACCCATCCAGTAGCCGATCTACCATCCTTTGAAAAGTCGCCGGAGTGTTTTTCATCCCGAATGGCATGACTCGAAACTGGTACAGGCCAAACGGGGTGACAAACGCAGACTTGGGAATAGCATCTTTGGCTAAAGGAATCTGCCAGTACCCCTTGCACTCAATCGTAGTGAGGTACTGGCCTCGTGCCATCTTATCTAGCAGCTCATCTATCTGGGGCATAGGGTAGGCGTCAGACACTGTTTTGTCATTTAGCCTCTGGTAGTCAACACAGAACCGTGTCGTGCCATCCTTCTTGGGTACTAGCACTACCGGCAATGCCCAGGGACTAACGGAATGTTCGATAACCCCTAGCTGCAACATCTCTTCAATTTCCTTCCGCATATGTTCCCGGACTGCTTCCGGGATACGATATGGGGTCTGCCGCATCGGTAGCTGCCCTGGGGTCTCTACCCGGTGAGTGGCCAGCGGAGTGTACCCCGGTAAATTGGAGAAGGTGGCTCCCTTAACCGCAATTAACTCCTGTACCTGGGCATGCTCTTGAGGACTTAGCCGTTCCCCCAGCTGAACACCCGTGGAGGTCTCTGCCTGATCTTCTCGCTCTAATAAATCGGGTAGCAGAAGATTCTCTTGATCCTCAGAGGCTGATGCGCATATAGCTGCCATGTCCTCTATTCTCTCATGGTAGGGTTAGAGCATGTTCATGTGGAGCATGCGTCTCTTCCCTACCCCTGAGCAGGGGCCAATCACATAAGTGGTATCACATCTCTGCTCCACCACCTGGCCACCGCCTTGCCAGGTGGCCTGCAACCTGTCATTGCGGACAGGTTTTAAAATCAAAACTTTCTGTCCCACTTGAAAGCTGCTCCCCTATCGTACCATCGGCGCTGGCGTTGTTGAGCCACCTGGAGGTTTACCCGTACGGTCTGAGTTAGTGCCTCCAAGCGGTCCCTGAACTCCAGCACATATGGTACAATGGGTATCCCATCTGCACTGCTTTCCCCTTCCCAATGCTCTCTTATTAAATCTAGGGGTCCTCTCACTCTTCTCCCAAACAATAATTCAAAAGGGGAAAACCCGGTGGACTCTTGAGGTACCTCTCTGTAGGTGAACAGCAGATGGGGTAAAAATCTCTCCCAGTCCTTATGGGCCTCTCCAAATGTACGGAGCATTTGTTTTAACGTTCCGTTGAATCTTTCACATAACCCATTGGACTGAGGGTGATAAGAAGAGTTCACAATAGGCTTAATGCCACATATTTTCCAGAGTTGGTGGGTTACTTCGGCTGTGAACTGCGTACCCCTATCTGAGATTATCTCCTGTGGGAACACCACCCGGGAAAAGACTTTCATTAAGTCTTCTGCGTGAATATTAGAGAGAGCTACGGCCTCGGGGTACCTGGTGGCGTAATCAACCATGGTCAAGATGTACTTCTTGCCCGAGGGACTGGGTTTGGGTAAGTGTCCTACTATATCTATGGCCACCCTACTAAATGGCTCTTCTATAATGGGTAGGGGGCATAATTTAGCCTTGTGTCGGTCACCCCTTTTGCCTACTCTCTGACAAATGTCACACATCTGGCAGTACTGCCTTACATCTTTAGATATACCTGGTCAGAAGAATGCATGGGTCAGTCGGTATCTAGGATACCCAGATGCCCAGACAATGGAATGTCATGAGCAATCCTAAGGAGTTCCTGTCGATATTTCTGGCGTACTACTAGTTGTCTAGTAGTAACATTTACAGATCCCCCCACCACCCTTTCGGCAATACGGTAGAATACTCCCTTTTCCCAGGCATACCGCTCCCCCTCTAAACCTGCATGATCAGAGGTCACCCTATCTCTATATACTTTCAACATAGGGTCTACCTTAACCTCTGCTCCAAATTCAGTCGGGGTATCCCAGGGAACACGAGTCATAGGGGGTACATTGTCTCTTACCTGAGCCTCAGAGTGTGTGGATGAAGCCGTGGCGTGAGCCTGTTGCCTTGTGGTTACCGGATGCGCCTCTTGGAGCGGGGCTTGAGGTACAGAAGCCGAAGTCATTCTGCCTAGGTCGTTTCCCAATACGACATCTGCCGGCAGTTTTTGCATCAGACCCACCTCCACCAGCCCTTCCCCCACACCCCAATTCAAGTGTACTTTGGCTGTTGGCAATCGGTACATCGCTCCCCCTGCTACTCGAACTGCCACGGATCCACCTGTGTGCACCGCGCCTGGAACCAGATGAGGTGCTACTAAGGTCACAGTGGCCCCCAAATCTCGGAGCCCTGGTACTTCTCTCTGCTCCAGGGTTACCATCTGGCGATGAGGGGGCCGATTGTCTGTGGCTTATACATGCAGTACTCCCAGGGGCTCTTCCGTGTGATTAAACATTAGCTCCTGGGGTGCTGGCTCATGGTGCTGGGTTCGGTCTTACTTGGCTCCATGCTTGACGACTCCGGTTCTGCGTACACTCTCTCGCCATGTGGCTCCATTGCTTGCAGGTATGGCACTGAATATTGGACAGGCCATTGTATCGGGACGGTGGGGTTTGCCCCCCAGTTGCTGGCCTGAATGGTGTTGTTGTGGGTGCGGTGGTAGTAGCTGTAGGTGGCTGGGTGGTGGGTCGAGGATACCATCGGTTGAGGTTTCCATGATGTCTCCTAGCGTCATAGTGCTGGTCCGCCAGCCGTGCAGCTTCTGTTAGGGTGAAGGGTTTTCTATCTCTCACCCATTCTTGTGCCTCTGGTGTCAGACCATTGAAAAACTGCTCCAACAATAGCAGCTGGCGTAACTCCTCCATGGTGGTAGCTTGGCTAGCTTGTATCCACCCCTGAGAGGCTTGATCAAGCTTGTGCGCCCACTCTGCATGTGAATCCTTATCTGGTTTGCACAGTCCTCTAAACTTGCGCCGGTATGCCTCCGGGGTAATGGCATATCTCTCCAATATGGCTTGTTTTACCTTGGAATAATTTTTGCTGTCCTCTCTGGGCACGGCCTGGTATGCTTCTGCTGCTCGACCGGATCATTTGCCTGCCAGTAAGGGTACCCACACTGCCTGCTCCAGATCATGCAGGTCACACAGTCTTTCAAAATCCTGTAGGTACCCATCAATCTCATCTTTGTCTTCACAAAACGTTTTAAGGCATGATGCGGTATCTTTGGCTTTACCTGGCTGGTGATTGAAGCAGCAGTAGATTCTGCTCTGGAGGGTAAATCCTGTGGTCTGTGTGCCATCACATACTCCTGCACATCTGCCATCAGTACCGTGAGCATTTTCAGAGGTACTGGATGGGGTAGGAATTCCAGCCTGGTCCTCATCTCTTTCTGGAATGGAGTCTCTTCCATGTCTGGTGGAGGTGTAGCGCTGCGAGCTCTGTCTCCCTCCATCAGTTCGGCAATAAGCACAGCTTTCGACTTATTACTGACTATCTTACCCCTGGCTTCCAATAGTTCTTTCAACGTCTGCTGTTTCAATGCAGTATAATCTGTCTACATTCACCTCTGTGTTCGGTTCTCTGTTGCATACGAATTGCCATTCACTTTCCCGTTCGGCAGTTTCAATTGCCCGAACACCGCTTTTCGGCTGTAAGGTTGGATCCCGTCGCTTGCCACCAATTGTAGCAGAGCTGCAATATTAAATCTCAATATCTCCGTTGGTAAAAGAAAGTAATCCAAGAAAAGCGCTGAAATTAAGGCAATATCCCAAATCCCCCAGTAACCGGACGAAACACAGTTCTGGGAGTCAACTGAGGTTTTTATTCACATGCTCCAGTATTTATGTGATTTCCCCATGCAAGGGGTTTCCTTAATCATCTTACAGGGGTTATACAGTAGGGGACTACATGGGGAACTTAACATACTGGACATTTCTCCCACCATGCACTGCTGTACGAGAGGGATACTCCCACAGAATATCATGTTAAGTGGATTATCCCTCCGTACAGCAGAACCGAGCTTTTTATTCCAAAATATATAACTGGCACATTATTCGTGCTATTGGACCGAATGACATATGAGTAGATAGCTGGGATCTGAGTGCATATTTTGGTAGATTGCCGCTCAGATCCCAGCACAATTAGCCGAACGCCACACAAAATACATTTTAATATGGATTCTCCATAAAAGACTTGAATACATAGTGTGAGTGAAAGTACCAAAAGACCGGTGTTCCCGAACGATCTAGAAGCCCAGCGGTGTTCGTGCAGTCGAGTAGCCGATTTTAGTTCCAGGCACTCGACGACCGAACACCGCTGAGCTAAAAGTGAATCCAAGATGTCCGCCGCTGCTTGGTCAGTATCCGAACAGTGGCCAACACGCGAATCAATTAGCTGGGGAACGCTACAATGTAGCAATCTGTTAATGGGAGCCACACAACCTCCTGAAAGTCACTGTTCGTGAAACTACCATATGAATGCAAGCAGCTTTCGTGCCACTAGCATACGAATGCCCTCTATCACCTTTTACCGCGAACACATAAAACAACATAGGTTAAACAGCCTTTCTAGGACAACCATGAGATATATACAGTAATAGTCTGAAGTGGCTAGGTTTGCCACAATCTTACTCTGGGAGGGCACTACGACACTACTGGTACCATAACCACTACAAAGTGCTGTAGTGGTTATTGTGCCTGGATTATATCTTTAAATAATCTACCAGTGCCCCTCCCAAGATTAGGTTCTGGATCTGCGCTTGAACGGCAAGCATTTCTGCTGAACAGGGGTCCAGTATGTGCCGCTGCGCTATACATATATACAACCTAGAACATTTTTTGACTTGGGGCGCCTTGGAAATATATTAAAATATTATAGGCGCCTTGAACATAAAAGGGTTGGGAACCACTGGTCTAATCAATAATTAAAACATGTAATTTTTATTATCAGGGCTATTCACTAAAGTGAGAATTGTTGGGAATTTGAAGTGAATTCAAAGTGAATTTCAAACCAAAGTAGCTGAGATGGAAACATAGCTGACTTGGAGAAAGTTTCCAGTTCAGTTATTTTGGCCTTAAAGTTGAAATTTACTCTGAATTAATTTAGAATTCCAAACATTTTTCACTGTAGTGAATAACCTGTGTATATTTTTTTTAATGTCACAGCTTATGGTTAAAATGAGAGAAATATATATATGACAATTTAATTTAAATCCAACTAAGGCGTAACGTGAAATAAGGGATTAAAATATGAATTACTCTGTATACTACTTCTTATTCCTCAAACAGGGTTCCACACTAACAGTGGACAAGTTGCTACTGGGTAATTTCTTGTCCTAGAGTGACACCTAATGATGAGTAACCAGTATTGCAGCATCAAAAAACATTCTAACAAAAACAAAAGTTTTGAGAAAATCAGTAGCTTGCCCTTTGGTTAGTCCCCACTCGGGTCTCAAAAATATTTTTGCTCACTTGTGCCATTACAAAGAGAACATATACCATTTTCATATAAGACTGATCCTACCCACAAGGGCAGTCCAGAACTAAAAAATGCCAGGAAATTCGCTCTGCATGAGAGATTCAGCAACCCCAGATGATCTTGTGCGCCTTTTTTGGGTCCCATCAGCGAAGTGTAGCTAATACCCCTCTAAGCACAGTGAGAATGGGATCCTCGCATGGATTACCCTTTTAGCTCAGGGAGAGCCCGAGCAAATGCATTTCCACAAAAACAGAGGATATGAGATAGCTGGGATCTGAGCACATATTTTGGTAGATTGCCGCTCAGATCCCAGCACAATTAGCCGAACGCCACACAAAATACATTTTAATATGGACAAAATATTTGTGCTGGTGGTTGAGCAAACCAACTTGTTTGCCACTCAGTATCTTTCTGTGAATCCAGAGTCATATTAAAACATGTGGCACCCACTGATGTCGCAATAAAGAATTGGGGCACTAACCCTAGTAATGGGTATTGTGAAAAAGCCAAGCATCAGATTCTACTGGTACATGCACCCCATTCAGGCAACCACTCTTGTGCCAGAGGTTATAAAGAGGGATCACTACCAGCGAGTTCTCCATTTTAACAATAACGCACTGTGTCCCCCGTGTTTCAACCTTGAAATGGGCATCTAATATAGTTGGCCTTGTGAGTTTCCAAAAAAACCTGGAAAACTGGTAAATGAAGGCAATGTTATATTTGTGAGAAAATGTTAAACCAAAATACTAAAGCTTTATTGCACTAACTCATATCAGAATTATGATATGTCCTGTGAAAATGTGTGTGAAAAAACACAAATAAAAGTATAACCACTTAATGGGACCTGCATTTCTGATAAAGTGGCTAAACTAAACATCTCTAAATATATGCTATTTCAAATACTTTGAGTTGCCCAATTTTGAAAATGGTATGCCACAATGGTGGAAATGTTATAACCCAGACTGCCATACTCTCTCAAAGGCGAAATAGGCCCAGAAAATCACTTTGTCAATGATTGAAATGATTAAATTGGGCAAACCCTATATTACCCTGTAATTTTCTAAAACCATAAAACTTGTACATGGGAGGTACTGTTGCTGAATACAAATATGTTTTCGAGCAGTAAAATGTATAATGATGATGACATCATCAGTAAAATGCAGTTTTTGTGTGAAAAAACGCAAATAACAAATATGAACACTGACTAAATAAGTGGCTACTAAAATGATTGGACATACCCCATTTCGAATACCCTGCTTGTTTTCCTTTTTCAAATGGTATGCCATGATAGGGGCAATTTTCATTCCCGGGCTGCCATACTGTCTCAATCGCACCATAGATCCAGCAACCCAATCTAGCAAATTTTTTTTAATTTCTTTATTTTTAATTCGACACAAAATGCGGCATAGCAAAATACAGTGGCTCGCGCAGGGGCCGGTTACAAGATATTTTCCATGGCTTACAACAGTGGTTAAATGTTTAGTAGGTTAGACGACTTTGATTTTAGCCACTCTGTGTCGGAGTTTATATTTAGGGGCAGTTTTGCCCGTACAAAAAATACAACAAGTACAGAGAACACAAAAAAAACCAAAAAAAAAACAAGGAACACAACAGTGCAACACAATAGGGTAAAATACAATTCTCTCTGTATGTATAAGACAGGTTTCACGGTGCTTTCCGAGTGACGCACATTGGTTGCGTCGAGTCTATGTACACTGTTCTGCGTGGAGCAGTACTGATGTATGTGGCGTCGGATATGTGCTCTGAGCCCTGTCGTGAGACCGTCCGCGTGGTAATATGATGGGTTTGCTACCGGTTTGAGTAGCGTCCCCCAGTTACGGAGTTTCAGAGTCAGCCCGTCTCGCGAACCATCCCAAGTCGGGGTCTGGTTTGGACGCAGAGAGCGGTGCCCTGTCGTCCTTTCTTATGGCCGTGGATAGCTTCGTGGAGAGGTCTTAGTGGCTGGTCGTGCGTTTGTCAGTGGTCATTGTGTTGAACTTTGTGGTCGTAATGCCAGGTTGTAGATGTAGTGTAATGTGTTGGTTTGGAATTTGTGTGGGTTCTTCCCGGTGTCTGGTTGGTAATGTTTTAGGGCTTTATGTGTAGCTTTTACTGTCGTCCCCCTATCTCCCTGTTTAATGATGGAGGGAGGAGGGGGAGGGGATGGGGGGGATAAAAGGGTGGGAAGGGGAGCGCTGTTCGCTGGGGCGTGCGGCGGATCAAGGCCCATTCCAGGCCTTTGTCATTATCCTGCTTATGTAGGATTAGTCGTCAAGATAGTCCTCCCAAGGTTGCCATATTTTAAGAAATGATTTCTCCGTGTTCCTAATTTGGGCTGTGAGTTTGTCCATCAAGTGTGTATCTTTGACTTTAGCTATCACGTCATCGTCTGTGGGTACCGTGGGCTTAAGCCACGCCTGGGCTAGAGCCCTTCTGGCCGCTAGTGTGATTTTATTATAGAGCTGTTGTTCTTTTCTAGGGAGACGGTCTATGGGTTTGGACAGTAGGACCGACCATGGGTCTAGATCTATACTTTTCTTCAAAACGTCAGTTAGTAGTTTCTGTATGCGCTCCCAGTATTTGTGTAGCTCTGGGCATTCCCACCACATGTGCACAAAGGTGCCTCTATCTCCGCAGCCCTTCCAACATGTGTCTGTCGTGGTTTTCCCCATTCTGTGTAGCTGCACAGGTGTAGTGTACCATCTCATGAGCATTTTATATGATTGCTCCTGTTGCAGCACGCAGATTGAGGTTTTAGCTGTCGCCTCCCAAATGCCCACCCAGTCCTCTCCTTCCAGCGTAACCCCCAGGTCCGCCTCCCATTGGCCAATGTAAGGTGGGTCATTAGCATCTTTAAGTGGGGCGCTGAGTTGTGCGTAGATAGTGGTTATTAAGCCCTTCGGTATGGTTTCGGTGTTACATAATTGTTCATAGAACGTCATGGGGGTGTGGGCTGCTTTTCTGACCTCAGGGATTTTGGCGAAGTCTCGTAATTGGATATGTCGAAATACATCTTTTGTGGTCAGGGGCGCTAAGGTTTTGAGGCTATCGAACGTTCTGAAGGAATTCCCCTCGTACATATGGCCATACCTCTGCATTCCAGTACTCTCTATGCCCCTAAAGTCTCGTGCGCTCAGCCCGGGTTCGAACGCTTTATTCCTCAGATATGGGGTTAGTGGTGAGGGTGTGTGTTTGAGTGCGTATTTGGTGGCTGTATTGTCCCAAATTCGTATGGAATTCAGGATTGCCGGGCAGGTTGTCCGTAGGGCGGGTCTGTCTTGTCTGGGCACCCATATCCAGAACTGTGGGAGATCGGTGCTCATTAACTTCGTTTCCAGGTCGACCCATCGATGTGAGCCGTCTGGTGCGTGCCAAGCCACTATTTGGGCTAATTGAGCCGCCAAATAGTATTGATACAAATTCGGGAGTCCTAATCCTCCCTTTGACTTCGGTCGGTATAGCACTTGCCTAGCTACTCTATGTCGTTTCTGTGCCCATATAAAGTTATCTATATGTCTTTGCAGCGTCGTTAGGTCATGTTTAGTGACTTTGATCGGCAGAGCTTGGAATAGGAACAGTAAACGAGGTAGCAGTGTCATTTTTATCGCATGTAATCTCCCTATCCATGAGATTGGCTTGTCTTGCCATTTTTCTAAATCCCGGCATAGTGTTTGTAATGTAGGTGTGTAATTTGCATCATACAGTCTCTCTGGTTCTGCAGTTAGTTTAATCCCTAAATATTTGATGTCTGATCTTGTAAAGTTGAGGGAGTGGTTGGCTTTTATGGCATTGATCTCCGCCGTTTCCATTTCCAGTGGCATGGCTACTGATTTTTCTAAATTAATTTTATAGCCTGATACCCGTCCGTAGTCCTCGAGAAGGTCGAGGAGGCATGGCAGGGAACCTCGGGGGTTGGTAAGTGTGACCATGATGTCGTCAGCATACGCCGAGACCTTGTATTCCTCCCCTCCTGCCCTAATGCCCGTTATGTTCCTATCTTCCCTGATCCTCAGTAGGAGAGGCTCCAGTGCTAGGACAAACAGCAGGGGGGAGAGGGGGCAGCCCTGTCTGGTGCCATTGGTAGTCTTAAATGGGGTCGGAGCTGTCCCCGGCACCGCCGTTTGGGCTTGTGGTTCTGTGTACAGGGCTTTTATTCCCTTTATGAATGTTTCTGGCATACGCAGGTGTCCCAACAGTGAGAAGAGGTAGTGCCACTGGACCCTATCGAACGCCTTCTCCGCATCCAAGGATAGGATCAGAGAAGGCGTCCGAGTCCTCACCGCCCACCATATGACATCCGCCCCCCTCCTGGTGTTTTCATATAGTTGGCGAGATGGTACGAAGCCGACCTGGTCTGGATGGACCATTGTACCCAGGAGGGGATTAAGACGTGTGGCAAGAATTTTTGCAAACACCGTAACATCAAAATTAATCAACGAGATAGGCCTATAGTTCCCTGCCTCTGTAGGGTCTTTACCTGGTTTGGGGATGAGTGTGATGTCTGCCGTAAGTGTTTCTGGGTTAGGATGTCCCCCGTCCATCCATTCCATGTATACCTTCACCAACCTTGGGGTCAACGTGTCTCTAAGGAGTTTATAGTAGGAACCATCGTAGCCATCCGGGCCCGGTGCCTTGTTCCCTTTGAGTGCCGTGATTGCCCTATCTACCTCGTCCCCCTCTATCGGGGCTCCCAGAGTCAGTATGGCTTCTGGCGTCAAGTTCTTCATATGGGTATTCGATACATAGTCCGCAACCGTTCGTTTATATGTCTCGTTGTTGCTATTTAGCTCTGGGGAATGATTATAGATGTTTGCTAGGAGCTCCGAGAATATTTGATTAATTTCCTTGGGGTTATGTGTCATCTGTCCCGACTTGTCCCTAATCGCCGTTATGGCCTTAAATTGTTGTTTGGGGTTTAGGGCCCTGGCTAGGAGTGTGTCCATCTTATTAGCGCGTTCGTAAAAAAGGCGTTTTTTATGGACTAGGTCCTTCCCTAGGTCTTCTATCGCCAAGGTCCGGATCGTATGCCGAAGTGCCCGAAGGTCATGCAGACCCTGTGTCGAAGGGGTTTGTTTGTGTTTGGCTTCTGCCCTCCGTAGTGCCTTTTGGAGCTCGAAGAGGGTTTCTGCCTTCTGTTTTTTCCGCCGAGTCGCTAGTTTGATGAGGGTGCCCCGGATGACTGCCTTATGGGCGGCCCAAATTGTAGTTTGGGACACCTCCGGCCTGTCGTTTTCACTAAAGTAGGTTGTTAGTTCGTCCTGGATGAGCTTTGTTACCTCGGGGTCTTTTATGAGTGTGCTATTCAATCTCCATTTCCACGGTGGCCTGGGCCCTGGGAGTCGTAGAGTGAGCTCTATATCAGCGTGGTCCGACCACGTGATGATGTTGATTTGTGCAGATTGGATCCATGGGATCCCTCTCTGGTTGACCAGAAATATGTCAATACGGGAGTATGTGGAGTGTGCCGCCGAGAAGAATGTATAGTCTCTTTGTCCCGGGTGCCGCAACCTCCAGGGGTCTAGCAGTTTTGTTTTTTGTATGAACTGGGATAATAGTTTGTCTTGTCCTCCGGCCCTAGGTGCCCTCTGGCCCCCTGTCGGTGTACTACGATCGACTGGTGGGTTGGGAGTTGCGTTCATGTCGCCCCCTAGCACTATGGCAGTGCGTGTGGCAGTGGCAGTGCGTGTATCATGTTGTGGAGGTTATCCCAGAAGTCTGGGTCTGGGTTGTTAGGTGCGTAGATGTTTATCAGATGGTATGTGGTGGTGTATACCGTCCCCGTGAGGATGATGTACCGACCCATCGTGTCAACTTGTGTCGTTTGAGTGACAAAGGGGCATTTTTTATGCAGGAGTATTTCTACTCTGTTTTTCTTCACCAGTGCCCTGGAGGAGAATGCTCTGGTGTAGAGGTGGTCAGTTAGCTGAATCCGGGCTGAGCGCAATATATGCGATTCCTGTATGAAGGCTATATCCGTCTTTTGTCGTTTTAGTTCTCTCATTAATAGTCGCCGCTTGGTCGGAGTGTTAAGGCCGTTAACGTTTAGGGAGGTTAGTTTAAGCGTAGCCATGGTCTGCCCAGATCCTGCCCGGTATGCGGGCGTTGGGGTCTGGTTTGTCCGCCGCACGCCCCAACGGGGTGCGATGCGTGAGGGGCCGTAAGCGAGGGGGAGTTATCACTCTAAGACTCGCTAGGCAACGGGGGTGGGGGAGGGGATCCTCCTTGGGGAGGTTTGGGGGGTTAAGGAAGCGGGGGAGGGGGTGTGGCTGTCCCCGGGGTGGGGGGACGAGTACACTTGGCGCCCGCGGCGTCTGCAAAGGTCCTTGGGTTGTGGAAGGCCTGTGTGGTGGGGGGGGGGGCTGCGGGATGTGGTGGGGGTTCTCCCCGGTCTTAGTCGCGCCGGGTGTATCGGGGGGTGGTTATCCGCCCCGCGGGGACTTTGTGTAGCGCGGAGGGGACAATCAATCGCCGAGCACCCTGACGCCGATCCGAGTGAAAGTTTCTATGTACATATACGTCAGTTCCCAATGAGGTTGAGGGGTTTGTGTGTCATCTCATGTCTAGTCACATGTGTACAGAGGTAACCGCAGTATAAAATACGTACAACCAATATCTTACATTGGACAATCACAGATGTGCAACATTAAATTGATAGAACATAGAGGTTGTGTCCTTCGTTCCCGCCCTTTATCATTTTCTGTATAAGTTGGAAACTAGAGCAGAGGCAAGAGAGAAGAGCGGGGGAGAAGCATAATACCATAGAGAAAGAGAAAAAGCGGGGGGGGGAGGGAGAGGAGTGCCCACTTGCGTTTCAGGTAGTGTCAGTGATGTTCCAATCTCCCGGTACGCTGCCTAGTGGCTTGGGGTTGCTCTGTGGGTCACAGTCCATTTCCCTGGTAATCACCGGTACTGTCCTGGTTATAAAGGTTCTTTGGTGCAATTAGTCCGTAATGCTGCGTTGAGTATTCTTTCGGTCCGGTGTTACGCCCCATCACGGTGTGTTAGATCCGTTTTCTACCTGCTCCGTCGTCTCCGGTTCAGGAGTCCGGTCGAGGTGTGCGTGTGTAGGTCTTTTTGTCTTTGTTTTTTTTTTGGGGGGGTTTAGGGGGGATCATTATATTCTCTCCTCTTTTTTGTTCTAATTGTGGGGCAGGTAATTTAAAAAAAAAATTTTCCCTCTCTTTTTCCTTTTCAGGGATGTTCATTAGCCCTGTTGGCATCTGTGTTATCTCTTTTCCTTCCTTCCTTCTTTTTAATGGTTGTCGTCTACTAATTGGTGTTTAGTCTCTGTATCAGCGTTTGTCTGTATCGTTGTTGTCTTCCTCAGCGTAATCTGTGACTTGGGTTGCGACTTATATTTTAGGGCTGTTTGAGGGAAGGTCTTGGGTGGTCTAGGTCCGTGTTGAGGAGTGTCATTTGAAGGGGAGGCCTCGGAGGGCCCCTCAATGTACACCGCCGTCCTGCGCTGCTTCTTCTCTGGGCAAGTGGCCCAGTGCTTGAGTGCCTCTGTGGGGTAGGCGAAAATCTTCTGGGACTTCAATACCCAGGTTGCGGAGGAAAGTTTTAGGGTCTGCTGAGGGCAGGAGTACGTCCGGTCTCGGTCCGTTAAACACGAGCATTTTGAAGGGATGGCCCCATGCGAAGTTGAGGCCCTTGGCCCTGACTAAGTCGGCAATGGGTTTCCATTCCCTTCTCCTGGCTAGTGTGGCGGGTGCAATATCCTGATACAGGTGTAGTGTGGAGCCGTCCAGCGAGTAAGTGTGGTGGCGGGCACTTTTTATAATGGCTTCCTTGGTTGAGAAAAAGTGCCACCGCATTATGACATCTCTGGGGGGGCTGTCAGGGGGGCCTCTTGCTCTTAGTGCCCTGTGTGCCCTGTCTATAGTCCACAGGTGTTCTGGTATGGCTGGCAGTTGCTCTTTAAATAGCCCCAAGAGCACCTTCTGTATGTCTGCGTCTTTTATTCTTTCCGGTAGGCCTTTTACCCTTAGATTATTTCCGCGGGACCTATTTGAGGCATCTTCAATTTCAGCCTCTAGTTCTGCCACCCTAGTGATGAGGTGGTTGGTGGTGGAGGCTGCTTCATTGTGTGCCGCCACCACATGGTCCATCCTCCATTCCAGGGCCTCCGTGCGTTGCCCCACTGTCTGTATCTCCTCCTTAACCTCCCGCGCAGATCTCTCTATTTCCCCCGCTAGGTAGTGTCTTACCTCTGCGAGAGATTGTAGAATTTCCGCATTGGATGTCTGTGGAGGTTGGTGCCCGTGCTCTCCGGTGCTTGGGGAGTCAGGGGAGCCCGCGCTCACCTGGCCGCCGCCATCTTTGATTACATGCGGTCTAGGCGTTGTGAGGAGGTCGGCCACGGATAGGATCCCGTCCTTCGGTTTTTTGCCTTTTTTTTGTGCGTCGCCATATCCCGGTGTTTCCCTCCTATGGTGAGTGGCTGTTGGGAACGTCGGCAGGGATGATTGTGGTTATTGCTTGGCGTTTTGGATCGTGCAGGGCGCAGAGCTCTGAGCTTAAGCAGCCATTACGCTCGGCAGCCAGGCCATGCCCCCCGGATTTTAAAGTTTTAAGGGTTAAGGGTAATGGTTTAGATGTGCTTAGAGTTAGGGGAAATACAGTTGGGGCTTAGGTTTTGGGGGCTTTGTAATAAGGACCAACTGCCTTTAAGATGCTATAGACTATGACTCCCATAATTCTCAGCTAGGCAAAGCTGTAATGAAGTATTTTGATGTCAATATTTTTAAAGTAGTTCAGAAAATTTAGTTATGTCTCCAAATATAGCTTGTCGTGCCATGTCTTATTTTTATTTGATCTTTTAACTCTTCCTTCTTTCCCTAATACATGGTTTATTGACTAAACTCTGACTTGTAATAAATTAAAATCTGAAAGACAAATTTAGGTTAAAATAGCCAAGCAGTGACTATAGCCGAACTGAATACATTTTCTGGAAAGCTACCTTAGGCCATCTTTTGCCATTTGGATTTCAACTCACTATAAACCAGGGTTTACATGCCTCATTTCTGATTCTCTTCATGGACATCATTCTCTTAGTACAGACAAATGTTTACAAATTCTTTCCTCTCCTGTTTCTCCTTTCCACGCAGGGTAATTTTGGCAGTGTTGAGTTGTGCCGTTACGATCCTCTCGATGATAATACAGGAGAGTTGGTTGCAGTTAAAAAACTACAAAATAACACAGCCGAACATGTCCGTGACTTTCAGAGGGAGAGTCTAATTCTACGCTCCCTTCACAATGACTATATTGTCAGATACAAAGGAATCTGCTATAGTGTTGGTGAGTGGACTGGAAACACTGGAAAGGGAGAGACGAAATCATTGTTATACACGTAGTTCAAAGTGAATTCAACATGAATTTCAAATTTAAGGCCAGCATGGCTGAACTGGAAGCATTATTGGCTTATTTATTGCTTTTTTCCGTTAGCTATTTTGACCTTAAATTTGAAATTCACTTTGAATTCTCATTTCAGTGAGTAGCCTTTTAAATCTAAAGTATTCTGTACTATATCTCTCCACAAGTATTTTTACATTCAAGTAAGTCCTCTTACTGATCCATACTATCCTGCTCTATAAACTGGCATTTTCCTCTTGGCTCCTCATTATAAAGCCTCCTACTAATGCAAAAAAAACTCTTTCATCTAACCCTTTCATATGATTACTCTGGAAAACTCCCAGTTCAATTCTATATTCTATATAACCTTTCTGCCAAACACAGAAATGACAACAAACCATAAAAAAAATAATCATAAAGTAAATACAAAACATAAACGAAACAATGTGCAATTCAATTGAACCATTATCTTATAAAAAAAAAAGTTAAGATTATATTTTATAAAAGAAAAAAGTCCCAGTGTTGGAAAATCATTCTGAATATAGCAAGTTTAGTATTACAGACCCAGGAGAATAACTTTATTTCAAGTTAGCGGTGAACCATTCTAAATCCAACCCATCAAAAAAATAAAAATATTATAAGGGTTATTTACAAAAGTGAGATTTCAAAGTAAATTCACTGTGAATTTCACATTTAAAAGGAACACTAAACTGACAGGAATACAAATATGCATTCCTGACACTCTAGTGTTGAACAATTTAGGTGATTGCCCCCGCTCCTATTGCATGGAAAAGGTGATATTACTCACTGTTTATCCCATGCCGTGCCAATCTCACCGCAGCTGGCCCCACCTCCAATCTTAGTGATCTCAGCCACCACAGTGCTTTCCCATCGCATTGAGCAAGTGTGACAAAACACCAAGTTGTGATACTCAGTATCTCTTCATAGAGATGCATTGAATCAATGCATTTAATTTGTATTATTCCAATTGTAATCTTGAAATTAAATCCCTTCTGTGTAAAGTTAATCATTAAAGTATTAATGTCATCCTATTTTATTATTTATTATGTGTAGGTCGCAGGAGTTTCCAGTTGGTTATGGAATATCTTCCGAATAAAAGTCTTCGTGAATATTTGCCAAACAATCGTGATAGACTGGGCCCTCAGCAACTTCTGCTCTATGCCTATCAGGTTTGCAAGGTCCGTTGATACATACATGAATGAATACAGAGAGCTCTAACTCAGATCTTTGTGGACTCTGATTTCCCCTCTTGCATCTACAATATCAGATATCTTACTATGCAGATATGCACAGAACAGAAAACACAGCCAACAAGCACAGAACAATACCAGTAAATGGGAAGCAATTATTATATAAAAAAGAGAAAATTAATACATATGAGAGACATGAAATAAATGTGGAAGATTCATATTTACATTCTATTTTAAACCTCTCTCTCGGATGTGCATGTACATATCATGTTATGCCAGAAAACAGAGACCATGATTTAGTTACTCTGTAAACAGATTTTTCAGCTGTCTGCCTGATTTCCCATATGGCCACCAAGGTCATGGACTCAGAGTAGCAGGCATGAGAGGGGCGGCACAGCCAGAGGTGAGATCATGCCTAGGAAGCAGCTGCTGGGGTCAGCCGTTACAGGCAGTGTGTACAAAGAAGAACACAGACCTGTTTGTTCTCCTTCCTGGTGGGCTGCTGAACCACTGGATGAATCAGTGGAGAGTAGGTCGATGCTATGACATCACTGTCATAACCACTGTACCACCTAATCTTCCTCCATGCTTGTAAGGGAGGAATAGGCAACCAAAAAGAAGGGAGTAGGGAATGCTAGCAAGAACCCTACCTCCTCTACCCTGCCCTTCAAACTCTCCATTCCAGCTAGGGACCAGTGCCATCCACCAGCCTGCCCAGCAAGGGATCTACCAGGCCAGTAGCAGTATGCCTTTCCCAGTCCAGTAGTTAGCCACCCGTGCCCACAAAGTCATTGTAAATGTCTGCATGGGTCAGTGTGTATGCATGAGTCTTCACAAAGGCCAGAGTTTTCATTAGAAAACCAAAACTTTTAAATTGTGTTAGAGTATCATGCAAGTCTATATGTAGACATGTACTATATATTTAGTATATTTGTATTATATTAAAATGTACTATATATTTTACACAGAATATAAAATGACTATAACTCCTTGCATGCATTCATATACATAATATATATGTATAAATTAAGGGACGGTAGGGGGTAAATCCGGACCTGCTAATAACACCTTATAGTTTATAGTGCTTTATTTATTTAATTAATTTATTTAATTTACCTCCAATGGCCATGAGAGGGTATGCCCACCTGCCACGTCAAGGCAGACCTCTTAGGTGGGTCCTACTCTAACCATTTGCCTTGCTTCCTTGAGCTTCTGGCAAAAAATCTCTAATGAGACAGAAAGGGGTATTTTTTTATATACATTGCTACATGCTTATTAACCCTTAATAGGGAACACATGTGATGGGCAGCAGCATTGCAACCTAGCTGTGTGATACAAAAGTGAATACAAATACAAAGAAACTAGTCCTGCGCTCAAACTCCCATTACTCCTGGGCGGCAGCAACGACCATAGTACACAGCAGCCAAAATACATATAGTAAAAACCAAATGCAATTCAGGTGCTCTGAGCAATGAATGCCTCTTAAGTGTAGCTCCTCTTAGGTAACCACTTAAGGACGGCGGGTGTTCTATGCCGTCCTTAAGGAGCCAAGCCTAAACCCCGGCGAGCGGCATAGAACCCGTCGTTCCTCCGCTAGTGATCAGCGTTGCTCCCGGTCTGGGGGAACTGCCTGATGGCCCAGACAGACCCCCTCTGCAAACTAAACCCCCGCGGACCATTTGATCGCTCGCGATAGGCGTCCATAGTGCTGCCTGCAGTGGGACTGCCTGGGCTGTCAGGTAGTCTTCCTGCTTTTCTAAAATATAAAATAAATAATTTATATATATATATATATATATAATGCCATACTAAGTGTATTTTTATATTTGTTGTGTCTGTCAGCGTAGTGTCCAGAGTATGGAGGCGCTACCAGGAGACAGGCCAGTACATCAGGAGACGTGGACGCAGGACCGCTACCTCCGCCTTTGTGCAAGGAGGAACAGGAGGAGCACTGCCAGAGCCCTGCAAAATGACCTCCAGCAGGCCACAAATGTGCATGTGTCTGCTCAAATGGTCAGAAACAGACTCCATGAGGGTGGTATGAGGGCGCGACGTCCACAGGTGAGGGTTGTGCTTACAGCCCAACACCATGCAGGACGTTTGGCATTTGCCAGAGAACACCAAGATTGGCAAATTCACCACTGGCGCCCTGTGCTCTTCACAGATGAAAGCAAGTTCACACTGAGCACATGTGACAGACATGACAGAGTCTGGAGACGCCGTGGAGAACATTCTGCTGCCTGCAACATCCTCCAGCATGACCGTTTTGGAAGTGGGTCAGTAATGGTGTGGGGTGGCATTTCTTTGGGAGGCTGCACAGCACTCCATGTGCTCGCCAGATGTAGCCTGACTGCCATTAGTTACCGAGATGAGATCCTCCTTGTGTGCTGGTGCGGTTGGCCCTGGGTTCCTCCTAATGCAATACAATGCTAGACCTCATGTGGCTGGAGTGTGTCAGCAGTTCCTACAAGATGAAGACATTGATGCTATGGACTGGCCCGCCCGTTCCCCCAGACCTGAATCCAATTGAGCACATTTGGGACATCATGTCTCGCTCCATCCACCAACGTCACGTTGCACCACAGACTGTCCAGGAGTTGGCAGATGCTTTAGTCGAGGTCTGGGAGGAGATCCCTCAGGAGTCCATCCGCCACCTCATCAGGAGCATGCACAGGCATTGTAGGGAGGTCATACAGGCATGTGGAGGCCACACACACTACTGAGCCTCATTTTGACTTGTTTTAAGAACATTACATCAAAGTTGGATCAGCCTGTAGTGTGTTTTTCCACTTTAATTTTGAGTGTGGCTCCAAATACAGATCTCCATGGGTTGAAAAATTTCCATTTTTTTATTTTTGTGTGTTTTTGTTGTCAGCACATTCAACTATGTAAAGAACAAAGTATTTCAGAAGAATATTTAATTCATTCAGATCTAGGATGTGTTATTTTTGTGTTCCCTTTATTTTTTTGAGCATTGTATGTATGTATATATATATATATATATATATATATAAATTTTTTATTCAAAATACACTTATAATTAAATTATATATCTATATATATAAGTAAATTAAAATAATAATATATATATATACACACACACACGCACACACACACAAAATTACATAAATAATTTAATAAATATACACGACTTTAAATATATATATATATATATATATATATATTTAAATTCTACGTGCATATTTATGTAATATTCTTACATAACAAGGTAATTTTATTGTTTGCAACTTGCGGGACCTGCCTGAAAACCCAGGCCGAAAGTCCAGGGAATTCAATTAGCTAGCACTATATTTAACCCTGTAACTTTCCAAGACACCCTAAAACCTGTACATGGGGGGTACTGTTTTACTCGGAAGACTTCGCTGAACACAAATATTAGTGTTTTTTTTAAAACAGTAAAACATATCTCACACATTTCTCACACACAAATGACAATTTCACTGACAATATCATAGATTTTACTGTCTTGAAACACTCATATTTGTATTCAGCAAAGTTTTCCGATTATAACAGTACCCCCATGTACTGGTTTTATAGTGTTTTTAAAAGTTACAGGGTCAAATATAAGGCATGCCCATGTAATTTTTTCATAATATAAACGCTAACTTTGGCCAGTTTTTGTGACTAAGTGGCTATTAAAAAAGACTGGAAATATCCCATATTGAATATGGGTTGTCTACTTTTGCAAATGGTATGCTATCATGGGGTAATTCAAATTTCTAGGCTACGATACAGTGTCAAAGGCAACATAACCAGTCTGGCAAATTTTAATGTGTATAAACTTAAAAATTTACTGTGCTATATCTGACCTTGTAATTTTCCAAAACACCATAAAATCTTTACATTTGGGGTACTGTTGTACTCCTAAGACATCGCTGAATACAAATATGTGCATTTTATTGCAGTAAAAAGTAACAGTGTTATGGCAGTCACAATTAAAATGCTATGCAGAACAAATTTTTTGTTTTTTAACCCCTTAAGGACGGAGCCAAATGTACACGTTGTGAACGAAACAAATTGTAAACAAAACCTGGCATTTGCGCTACATGTCTGTCCAACCGTAATTCACCTATTTCATAGTAAATGCACCCACCCTTGTTATATATCATTTTATTCAGGGGAAACAGGGCTTTCATTTAATATCAAATATTTAGATGTGAAACATAATTTAATATGAAAAAAACGGGAGAAAATAAGATTTTTTTTATTTTAACTGTCAATGTCATAATACTGTTTGCTTTTACTGCAATAAAATACACATATTTTATTGAGCAAAGTCTCACATGTAAAACAGTACCCCCTATGTACAGGTTTTATGGCATTTTGGGAAGTTACAGGGTCAAATATAGCACGTTACATTTGAAATTGAAATTTGCCAGATAGGTTACGTTGCCTTTGGGACTTTATAGTAGCCAGGAATGAAATTTTATTTTTACAGTTTTTGCAATAATAATGTGTGCATAATTAGTGCAGGTTAAGGAAAGTAAAGACGCATTAGTTGTTCTGATTTACAGAATATATAATGTGTCTGGGATTTTAAGTTTTTTTTTGGTAGTTACAGGTCACAAAGCACAAGGAGTAAAATAAACTTTTAATGTGGAGCGATTTTTAGAATTTGGTATGTTTGTCTTGTAAGCTTAATAGCCATAAAAGAAAACAAAATTGCCACACTAAAGTATATATTTATATAACGTAGACATCACAGGCTATTTACCTAGGGTTGTTTTGATACTTTCTACGTAGCCATTTCATCGCCAACCTCTGCTAAATATTGGAGTAAAATTGTGGTTTTTTTTGTTTTTGGCACACAAACTTATAACAAAGAAATTCTCATGTGTATTTTGTAAAGTTGGGTGTGCTATTCCTGTACAAAGTTTTATTTTGTGTTCAGTTCCATCTGCTGAGCAAAATGACACCCCAATTGTATGTCTTTGGCACTATTTTGTGAAGTTACAGTGCCATATAGGAGGCCCGTTCTTTTCAGTATTCACAGTAGAAATTTGAGAGACGGATTTAATGAGCCTATGCTTCCATTTGGGGTATTATACCAGTTTAACTGATCAAAAAAAAAACACAAAGGCCTACCATTTGTAAAAGTAGACACTCCAGGGTATCTCATAAGGTGCATATTGTGCCTTAACATGCCCCCATTTTTTTCACCAATATATGCTAAAGTATGTGATAAAAATAATTTTGTGCATTTTTTACATACGGATTGCATTTTTGCTGGGCGTTTTGTATATTTCCTATGTGCCACTAAGTTCAAACCTCCCAAATTATGCTCAGCTAAGTCTTCTGAATAAAAAGACACCCCGACGGGAAAATTGCCATAACGATGAGTCCGTCACCCGTTAAAATTAACCCCGGATCGCCGGGTTAATGGTGCTCCGGTCTGCCTCTGTATTAGCATGTCAGAGCGAGCACATGTGCTGCGTATACTCACCTTCCGCCTCCCTGCACTTCCTGGTTCTGTGTGAAGTGTAGGGGGCCGGAACAGTGCTGATCCTGCCCCCTTTTGAAAAAATATAAAGTTTATTTAAAATCCCACCCCCCTTTACTCATTTTAATTAAAAATTAACCCCTTCCCTGCCAGTCGATCACTGCCTACAGTGATCAGAATATAGATCACAGTATTATTCTGTGATCTAATTTTTTTTTAACCCCTGAGGATTAACTTTTATTCATTTTTTAACCCTCAGGGTTTCAATTTATTTAAATAATTAATTTAAATATTTTAGAATTATGTATTTTGCTAGCTCGGGTGGGTGGGTGGGAGTTGTGGGAAAATGGGGAATTTACTGTTAGTGCTGCTTACTGCTAGTTAAGGGTTAACGGGAAAAAAAAAAGCTTAGAAAAAGGTTAAATCTGTAAAAAAAAGTTTTAAGAAAGTTTAGGAATGTTTAAAAAAAACTAATAAGGAAAGCAAAAGTTTAAAAACTAGTTTTTAAAAGTAAAAAAAAGGTTTCAAAAAGTAAAAAAATACATTTAAAAACGCTCATTACCACTACACTTGGAACAAACTAGAGAAAAAAAATTATCCCACGATAAGGCTCAAAATTTGCCTTTTGATTACCCCAGGGGGTATTCTATAATAAATAGTATGTGTTTGTGGGGAAGTTTCAATAATCAACCGTCTAAACTACTCCATGGACACAGCGTCAAAATTCAAATATACTGTGCAAACTCACTTTGTGTGTCAAAAAGGCAGAAAAAACACTTATTACCACTACACTTGGTACAAGCTAGAGGAAAAATGATCCCACGCTAAGGTTCCAAATATACCTTTTGAAATACCTTGGTGTGTCTACTTTAAGAAATGGTAGGCCTTTGTTGGGTAGTTTGAATTTAAACCCTGCTAAGATGCTTGGAAATTGCACATAGGCCCAGCCCAAAATTCAAAGTTCGGTGAAAACTGATATGGCTTGGTCTCCTATATGGCACTGTATCTTCACGAAATAGTGCCAAAGACATTCATTGGGGGTGTCTTTTTACTCAGAAGACTTAGCCGAGCATAATTTGGGGGGTTTGAACTTAGTGGCACATGTGAAATATACAAAATGCCCAGCAAAAATGCAATCCATATGTAAAAAACGCACAAAATTATTTTTTATCACATACTTTAGCATATATTGGTGAAAAAAATGGGGGCATGTTAAGGCACAATATGCACCTTATGAGATACCCTGGAGTGTCTACTTTTACAAATGGTAGGCCTTTGTGGGTTTTTTTGGATCAGTTAAACTGGTATAATACCCCAAATGGAAGCATAGGCTCATTAAATCCGTCTCTCAAAATTCTACTGTGAATACTGAAAAGAACGGGCCTCCTATATGGCACTGTAACTTCACAAAATAGTGCCAAAGACATACAATTGGGGTGTCATTTTGCTCAGCAGATGGAACTGAACACAAAATAAAACTTTGTACAGGAATAGCACACCCAACTTTACAAAATACACATGAGAATTTCTTTGTTATAAGTTTGTGTGCCAAAAACAAAAAAAAACACAATTTTACTCCAATATTTAGCAGAGGTTGGCGATGAAATGGCTACGTAGAAAGTATCAAAACAACCCTAGGTAAATAGCCTGTGATGTCTACGTTATATAAATATATACCTTTGTGTGGCAATTTTGTTTTCTTTTATGGCTATTAAGCTTACAAGACAAACATACCAAATTCTAAAAATCGCTCCACATTAAAAGTTTATTTTACTCCTTGTGCTTTGTGACCTGTAACTACCAAAAAAAAAATTAAAATCCCAGACACATTATATATTCTGTAAATCAGAACAACTAATGCGTTTTTACTTTCCTTAACCTGCACTAATTATGCACACATTATTATTGCAAAAACTGTAAAAATAAAACAAAATTTTCATTTTTTTTTAATTTTTCTGTATTTTTTTATAATAAATAAGTGTGTGTGTGTGTGTGTGTGTGTGTGTGTGTGTGTGTGTGTGTGTGTGTGTGTGTGTGTTACATCAAATTAAAGCCCTTTCTGTCCTTTAAAAAATGATATATAATATGTGTTGGTGCAATAAATTAGTAAAATGCAAATTGCAGTTGAAGGCAAACAGCAAAAAGTGAAAAAAATGCTGTTGTCATTAAGTGAAAGACAAGCTTCTGAAGCTCTGTCCTTAAGGGGTTAAACAACCAGGACCATCTGTCTGACAACCAGAGGGTATTACAAAACCTGCACTTTTTGAAAAATGAAGGGAAAAAAAGCAAATGCACTCTTCACACAAAGAATTTCACTTTTCCAGTTTAACTGCTATAGAGCTTCTTATTAAGGATGAAGTTAGAGGAAGAGAGATGGTTGTGTTTTTGTTTCTGTCAGTTCTTTTTTTGTTCTCTTCTAGCAAACAAAATAATAATAAAACGTTTTAAAAAAACTAAGCAAAAATAAATTGGTAAACATTGTGTAATAAATGTCATCATCTGGGACATTATAATATTTTGTATGTTCATCTGTTCCCCACTGAACACCATTCCATGACATTTTATATGCATGCAAAAATGTAATTGGATAAGAATTTTGCCAACTTAACAGTCTTGCTATAAAATAGGCAGTCTGTCTGTATTGTAGGGCATGCAGTACTTGGGATCTCATCGGTATGTTCATCGGGATCTTGCAAGTCGTAATATTTTGGTGGAGAATCAGAATCACGTGAAGATTGGAGATTTTGGTTTGACCAAGATTCTGCCTCAAGATAAGGAATATTACGTTGTGAAACTGCGAGGAGAGAGTCCCATATTCTGGTATGTACATAGGTAAACAAGTGGAAAGAGAGTAGTTGAAAGGCACAATTCTCACGTATCATGTTTAATGCTTTGTTCTTTAAGCTATGTTTGTGCTGCAAAACTTTGGACATCTTGGATACAACTTGGCAGAAAGTGGCAGACACAATTTCAGTGAGAGCAACCAAGTCTAGTTTGCATATAAATGTTTGATCAAGTATACGTGTGTGCACGTATATGAATGTCTATTTTTGCCCTGAAGCCAGATAACCTTGGTACACTTTTAAATGTGGGTTTAAAAAAATGTTAAATATTTAGAAAAGGTGCAGATGTTAATTCATTATTGGAGGCTACTAGCCATCATCATTACCATGTCAATTCTATTTGTTCAAGTTTGTCCGATTGCACAGAAACTACACTAAAAAGATGTGATTTGCAGAAAATATCCCTTATTGGCTATTTCGGGATTTTATAATATTGCTAAGGAGAAAAAACAGATCTGAGCTATTACTAAAAGACGTTAAAAGTAAACTGGATGACATTTTGATATATTATTCCACGCCCTGAGGCACACAGTTTAGCAAAACAAAGAAATAGATTAAGACAAATTGATCTATTTTATTTGGGGAGGAAGCATTGGTACCTGTGGTATAAAAAAAAAAAAAAAAGTTACATTTGTAGCTCGAAAGATACTTACCCCAGCTAATAAATTGTCACCAACTCTCTTTTTAAGTAATGCTGTGAGATATAGAATTGATTTGGATGAGGGTTTGGATGAGGGATAAGCTTTGTTTCTTTTGTTTGTTTTCAAATGTGGTTCTTATCCTTGTAAAAAACATGCAACGTTCTTAAAGGGACTCTCCAGTGCCAGGAAAACACTGCACTACAGTGTCCCTCTCCCTGCCACCCCCCATCCCAAGTTGCTGAAGGGGTTAAAATGCCTTCAGTGACTTACCTGAGTCCAGCGCCGATGTCCCTCAGCGCTGGGTCAGGCTCAGCCTACTCTCCTACACACGCACATTAGACCTCCCCATAGGGGAATCCTATGGGGATTTCGGCAACACTGGAGGTCCTCACATAGCTTAAGGACATCCAGCGTCGTTTAAAACACTTTTCGTGTTCTAAGAACACAGAAGTCCCTCTAGTGGATGTCTGATAGACAACCACTAGAGGAGGACTTAACCCTGCAGGGTTATTATTGCAGTTTATAAAAACTGCAATAATTACACTTGCAGGGTTAAGGGTGGTGGGAGTTAGCACCCAGACCACTCCAATGAGCAGAAGTGGTCTGGGTGCCTGGAGTATCCCTTTAAACAAGCCTTTTTTTTTTAATTCAAAAGTGAATATTACCCAAAAGTGCTTATATATTATTATTATTATTATTATTATTTGTAATTTGAGATGTTATTTATTTTATCACAAGCATTAATATGTCTAATATGTGAGGAAGATGGACTGGACGTTATTAGGGAATACTTAATATTAGAAAACAATAATATTAAAACTGGTAATCGACTTACCACTGTTAGTAAACACTTCTGAGAAAAGGGTGGTGAGACACAGACTTTTTCTCTTTTCAAGGAATAGAAAGAGAGTCAGGCAACCCCTAAGGTGTGATGACCTGTTCCACATTCCTTCCAGCTTGTTGTATGAAACTCAGAATGCAGTTCTTATAGTAAGAAACAAATAAAGTTCAATGCAAACAGATCCAGAGAGGCAAGGCAAAGCCAGAATCAAGACAGTCCAAAAGTTCAAAATCCAGGTAGCATGGTTCAGAAGAGGATAGAATAGCCAAGGGTCAGGAAATTCATAAATATGTTCTATAGGGCCCACCCTGCTTGTCTTGGATGGAGTCTACATGCATATCTGAAGAATTCAAGGTTGCAGTGTTCAGTGTATATGGTGATAGGATTGAAGAAGCCTTTCGATAAGTGTCTCTATTCTTCCAAAGTACATTTGATAACTAGGAGTTCTTTATAAACTATATCATAGTTGGTTACAGCTGAATTTAATATATTGGAGTAAAAGGCAACCGGGTGTGTGTGGTTACACATTTCTCCTCTCTGTGACATGTATGTATGTAGTGGGCATTGGATAGCATTTCCCTCATCCCCCCATAAAAAAAAAAACCCATAACTTACCCCTTCAAATAACAACAAACAACTTCTTGGGAAAAACAGGCCACAGCATTTATTAACATCACCAAATACTGTTTAACTCCTTAAACATATAACATAATAATGAATTAACACAAACACTTTTTATACAGTCATACAGTAATCAAGAAACCGTCCTTGCCAATCTAACTTCCCCAAGGCTCTCACCTCCCCCCCTCGGCTTTCAGGGCTCCCCACCAGCCGGTTTTCCGCTCAGTGGGGCCCAACCATAATGCTCCCCACCAGTCGACTTACCAGTGGGGACACGTCCAACCTGGTGCCAGGTCCCCCAGGTTTTAACCCTTCAGATGTAAACATAGCAGTTTCAGAGAAACTGCTATGTTTACATTGCAGGGTTAATCCAGCCTCTAGTGGCTGCGAAAATCGCATTCAGCGTGCAGAACGTCCATAGGAAAGCATTGAGAAATGCTTTCCTATGGGTGTTTTTAATGTGCGCGCCGCTCTGGACGCGCATGTGCATTCCGCTCCACTCGGGAGCTGACGAGTGGGAGGAGAGGTCACCAGCGCCGAGGGAGCCCAGCGCTGGATTAAAGTAAGTAACTGAAGGGGTTTTAACCACTATAAGAGACAGGGGGAGGATGAGACCTGTCCATTATCCCCCTTTTCATCTAATCTACCATCCCTTATTTGGCAAGGACATGCCCCGCCTCGCTGTGACAACCTCCCAGGCCCAAAGCAGCAAAGGGAGGGTGGGCGGGAAACTTGTTGCTGGCCTGGCTCCTAAGTGGCACTGAGGTCAGTCTGCTTTGTCACCACCCACTTCCTCACATCTCACACTCCCCCACATAGCACATAGCCAATCATGCACCATCCATCCCACACTCATACATGTGCCCCTGTCCGCTAAGCTGCGCACTCTCCCTGGTTCCTTTACTGCTCTGGTGGCTATTTCAGAGGTATCAACTTCCACGAAATAGGGTTTTGTAGGATTTGGCAGTGTGGGTCTAGTAGTGAGTTGATGCTTATATTCATCAAAAGTCCTGTGAGCATTTTCAGACCATTTTACTGTGGTATGGCTCTTAGTGAGAATACTCATGATACATGACGATGATGATGGCTCTTTATATGTAAGAGAATATCAGTATATTATGTAGGTACACCACTAAGTATTTGTCAAGCAAGCTCCTGATGATGTCACTGACACAATGTTTAAAGGTGGCAGGGGCATTACATAATCCATACAGCATGACCAGGTATCAAAGGGACTATATATTGTTCATAATGCGGTTTTCCGTTCAACTCCACTCCTTACCTGGGCTAAATTTGTAACGGACCTCCCCGTACTCCAACTGAGTATCTTCCATTGATGGACGTTTCCTAGCTTGCGCCGAGGGCCACAAGCACCGCACCGGACACCACAACCACCGCAGACTCCACAACCGCCATGCTTAACTGGAGTCTCATCATCTTCCTTCCACCCTGGATCAGCTTCTGTCCTCCAGGACAGTGTGGGAAAGACCTCTCCTCCAGGAGAGCGTATCAGGAACAAGCTCTTAAAAAAGCTAAGTGATTAAAGCTCAGGGGAGTATGCAGAGCATAGCAATCCCCAGTGTGAGTATAGCTGTCCCCTCCAATCACGAGACAAGACTACGTGGTGAGGGTCAAGAAGAACTGACTCCAATGAGCGTTTATTCCTGCTTATATACAACTTTCCCAGCAAGGTTACCACCCACGTGGACCTTGTGGGGCACTGGAACTGTAAATTTAACAACCAATAAAATAAAGGCACAATGATAAGCACACCCACTTTTTACAATGAGAATCCTCCCTTCTGCTTGGGAGATAATTGAGTTTATTACTGTATCAACTCCACGCTTAAAAAAAAAAAAAAAAAAACTTTTATGCTATTTTTGTAACTTTGTGAGTTTTCATGCGATATCAATAAATTTTATATTTCTATAACCAGCATAATTTGGGGACAAACATATCCAAAATTCACTTGAATCGTTTAAGTGGTTCAGGAGATAGGTGCAAGTCATATTTTGAAGTGGAGGGACAAAGCAGCTAGTTCCAACTGGTTTGGCAGTGTCCCTGGGACAACGCCCTGCTGGAGAACAATGGGACCGGGGGAGGGGAAGAGGCACACCTTCCCATGGAATAAAAGGGGCAGAAACAGTGCAATAAAATCCAATATGCCCAAATAATGTTTTTAAAGGAAAAACTCTCCCAGGGGCCATAGTCACAAAGCAAGAGGCTGGCAATTAGTCCTCTGCAGGCACAAGTGGCGAAGGGCACTTCGTCACACATTTCCCCTTTGGGAGGGAGACTAACCAGGCACCTGACCTTCTGTTGCCAGCACTTCTGCTGGGGTAGCCTGATGGGGACTTGGCTGGGGAGGGGAGTCATCACTTACCCCCTCCTCCTGGTACTCCTGCGATAGTAGCTGGGGATCTGGACTGGCTGTCCAGCATCCCTGTGGGTCAGGCACAGAGACCACGGTCCCATCTGCGCTGTCTGGGAGATTGGCGTCTCCCCTTGGTAGGGTAAGCTGCCGCTGGGGAGAGAGGGTGCTGTGCTCCTCTCCCTGGAATACAGGCTGCCGCTGGAGAGGGAGACCGACTGTCTCCACTCCCATACCATTGTCCTGCTGACTGTCTCTGCTCCCTGTGGGACACACTGCTGCTGGGGGTGGAATCCTCCCCTCTGCTTGGGAGATAATTGAGTTAATTACTGAATCAACTCAATTATCTCCAAAAAAAAAAAACACACTTTTATGCCAATTTTTTAACTTTGTGAGATACATGCGATATCAAAAAAAATTACAAATAAAATTATATTTTTATAACCAACATAATTTGGGACAAACATATACAAAATTCACTTGAATCGGTTAAGTGGTTCAGGAGATAGGTGCAAGTCATATTTTGACCGAGGAGGGACAAAGCAGCTAGTTCCAACTGGTTTGGCAGTGTCCTTGGGACAACGCCCTGCTGGAGAACAATGGTACAGGCAG